GAAGATGACAGCGATGAAGGAGAAGATGCGCCGTCTACCCATACGCCAATTGCCGCCTCCACGCCTACTGGTCCTGCCCCCAATAAGCGTCACAACAAGAGAAAAAGATGTCTACAAGAAGGGTCTGCTGCCCCGCTGGCTACACCAAAGTGCCGACCCAGGAAAGACCAGGTCCTAGCTGCAATCAAGGCCTAAACAACTATGCAAGAGATGCCTTTACCTGGGCTAACGACAACGACAGTGACAACTTCGACGAATGACTCCAAAGTCGAGATTTTACATCTCACTCAAAATCCTCTGTGCGGGAATGGGAGGATTGATTGTAAAGATAAGATAAATCGATTGTTGGCAGTTGCCCTGTTTCAGAGAGATGTTTGGTGTAGGATTTTGTCTGAAATTATCGTGCTGGTAATTTCAGACAATTTGATATATAATTCGTTCCAGATAACTAACTAATTATTAAATGTGAGCCAATTATAAATAAGTTTTTACATACCGTATTTGCCGGCGATAAGGCCGCAGTGCCGTATAGGCCGCACCCTCAACTTTTGACATTTCGTAGAGGGAAAAAAAAAAAAAAAAAAAAAAAACTAAAAAAAAAAAAAAAGAGAGAAGAAAAAAACGGACCAAACAAAATGATCGTAATTTTCTTGTAGAACACTCTTTTTGTTTACAAACTGATACCAAATTCATCAATTTTCTTATAAATTTACAAGAAGTTAACCTAAAAAATGATCGTAATTTAGCAGATCTCATCGACTTTTAAGCTAGTACTGTATCGCACGCAGAATTGGTATCCTACAATGCCCCTATTTCGATGTGCGGTGTAATTCGGAATAGCATTTTTCGACCTGCGCAGTTGCGTTGCGCGGCAGCTAGCTCTGTAAGTAACGGCCTGTCCCTTTGTTTACTTTTTGGCGATGCAATGGTACGGACTTAGATCTAGATCTATCGGCAGATTTTATTATTTTTTGTCTTCATGTCAACTTTGCAACATAAAATTGTTGGTAAGTTGTGTGGAGTTATTCTAGAATTGTCCTGTACCGTTGTCTAGTCATGCTACCGTTCATATAGTCCCATACGTGCAAATGGACGTGATGTTTTGACCGCTGAATTTTGTTGTTGTCGCGTAAAGGCCGCACCCCGACTTTTGGATATTTTTTCTTCCAAAAACACTGCGGCCTTATCGCCGGCAAATACGGTAGTTAACTATTTTTTACATATACGTTTGCGCACATAAATATATGTGCGTTTCCCGTATTTTGGGTCAATGTGTGTGTAATATCCCGCAGGTATATACTGCCAGTTACGGCAGGGAGTACACACACACATGCACGGAATGTTAGTGCTCGAAACGAAACGTCAAGATGTTGATAAATAAACTCACTTCCTGAATACCCTAGTTCAAGATGTATCTTTGTTAACTTCATAAAGATAGAGATTTTACAATGGCGACGAGACGGGATCCACTTTGTGCTCTACTGTTCGACAACAAAAAGTGAACTTTTGACTTTTTCCATCGTCTTGATCTGGTGCAATTCGCACAGACGGTACGTACGTGTACGTGTGATGGTGACTGAGTGTGTACCGAGTAACTTTTGTGCCCCACGTATTGACATTCATGTGATCCAGTGAATAGCCCAATATGTCTATGCCCGTTTTACCATTGTTTGACCCTCACGGGGACAGTGCATCTTTGAGTCAGAGATGGGAACAGTATATAAAAAGATTTGAAGGAGCCATGGTTGGGTTCAATATCACCAGACCAAAACAGTGTTTGTATGTTTGATACATTATGTTCATTTAAGCTAAAGAAAAGGAGGAAGAAATATACTTTCTATGTTTGAAATACAGTCAGTCATCTTGAAACGGTATGATCTCTTATTAATTGATCTGTTTGTAACCATGGTAATACTCAATTTATGAAGATATATGTACCAAATACATGTACCTGGAAAAAGCATTTTTCAACCTGATATACATAGTTCTGTAGACTGATCATGCATGTATTTCTTTGAAGAAAAACAATTATAGTGAAATTTTGCATTTGAAAGAAAGATTCAAACACACTAAACCTTTATATTGATATTCTCATTTTGTTTCTCTTGAAAGTGTCAAGAAAAATACATGTATGTGTAACAAGTTTATTGTTTTATGATTATGAAACAAATCTAAAGAAAAGGAGGGATGTAATATCCCGCAGGTATCTACTGCCACACACATGCACGGAATGTAAGTGCTCGAATACCCTAGTTCAAGATGCATCTTTGTTAACTTCATAAAGATAGAGATTTTACAGTGTGTGCCTATGTTCAAACCTCTACAGACGAATTGATGATTAAAGAGGTTATTGAACGTAGGTAAAAAACTGCCGAGTTTTTGTACGAATCGTGATATAATTGAATGCTCAAACTTTTTCGAGATTTCAATCTACGATTCGTCATGGCATCGGACCCTCCGAAACCCGCGGAGAGACAGCGGGCAGAGACAAGGACCCCGACCCGGAACTTCCGGGGGGCTGTATCGCACCATGGGTCTAAGTACCCCTCGACTGCCACGCACAGACAACCGCATCATGAACCCAAGAGTTCCGCGGGAGATCGAGATAAGAAGAAAGTGACTTTAAAATCGAGCAAAAAGGCTAAAGGAAAATCGCTGCTTGCTAGTACTAGTAGTAGTACAGTGAATTACGACACCCGCCTTTGTTGTCGGGGGTGATTGAGGCTCTCCCTCTCCCTCAAACTCCAACTCCAACTCCACCGGCACCAGCTCCAGCACAGAAGCAGGCTAGAGCCTCGACTTCGACACAGGCAGATCGATATGATTATGAGCCCCCATCATGCAATTTGCCAAAGGTAGATGAGACTTATGTTTATGGTGAAGATGAGTCAGTCACAGTGCTTGAAGATGAAATAGGGCAGCACTTGCATGCTGACTCTGACGCAGTAGTTATCCCTGCTTTTGCAATGAAGTTTGCAGCACAGACAGATGTGGGTACACCACTCAACGAGGTTTGACCCTCCTGGCGCTCCCGATCATTACCCTGGCTTCAGGACTTTCTCGCTTACTTTAGTAGAGATCTAACAAACGACATATTGTTTTTGCAATAGATTTCTCTCTTTTTGTGCATCATATAATAGCAGGTACAATGGATGATGTATGTTAGGAAGAACTATTGGGTGCTTGTATCCTTCATCTACACGGGAAAACTCGCAATAGCTCAGCCATTCGTAGTGTCGTGTTCATGGTGTTTCAGGTTATTGCCGCATGACATTTTTTGTGTGATATAATACTTGTTTTTCTTGGGTTATAAATTAGCTGAATCGTCTGCCAATCGAATAAATTGAGCAAGGAGACCGCGATCAGAATGCAGGTGAGATAAAATGGTTGTTTTTCTCGGCTTGTAATTACTAGTACCGGTAGTTGAAATGTCTGCTGATTGAGAAACCCAGCAAAGAGACGGTGGGGATCAGGATGTAGGTGTGTGATGGGTGAATCTAGTAAGATCAGGGTGCTTTCAGCATCCACAAGTTGCCCGGTCCAGCCCGGCGCACTTCTGCTTCTGGGGCAGTGATATGGACCAAACTCCAACAGGATTGGATTCGATTTATCAAGGGCTCAAGAGCTGTAGACGCCAAAACGTACACACACATATTTATTTGTAGTGCATATTTTGATGAATCCCAATATGATGAGTCCCAAGTACGGATGTATCGCTTGGGACTCAGGAAGAAGTCCCCTCAGTTGAAACCCGAAGCCGTGCCTCATTTGAAGACGACTGCAAGACACCCCTTTCCACCAGAGTGGTTCATGAACAAAGGGACGATGGCAATGCCAATAGAGAGGCCTTCCATGCCCTTGCTTCCCCACGAGGTAAAAGGAGCAAAAAATTTGGCCATTATAAGCGATGCTGCCACTAGTACAAGTACCATAGACATAGATTCTGCAGCAAGAGCTAGGCCATTTATGAAAAAGACAACAGCTACGCCTACCGGGACAACAACAACAGCCACAACATCTGCGTCGACATCCAAAGTGCAACGAAGGCTTGCTAATTTAAAGTGCATTTGCAAATGCAGATGCAGAGCATCACAGAGGAAGCCTGCAACAAACAAGATTCAGAGGGTGAGAAGTCGCCATGCTGACGGCAGCCCTGAAGGAGGCCACAGAGGTGAAAGAAGAGGCTAGAAAGGGAGTGGTAGGTGCTACCAGGCCGGTCTATGTGGCTCCAGGGAGAGCTTGGATGTGTTTTCCAGCAGTCCAAACCGCCTGTCTGACCAGACTGTACACGACGTGGTTGCAAGCGTGAGAGCCCAGTTGGAGGTCAGAGGTCTCAAGGGAAGGGAGGCGGCTGCCTTTCTAAAAGAGTACCTAGAAGGCGACGCATGAAGAGAGGTAAGCAGGAGGGGAGACAAGGTCCGGGACGACCATGAAGCCATCTTTGTTGTCAGAACTTTCCTTCCTCGTATAATCTTGCCTACGGTGTACATGTATGTTTAATGTTGTATGGATATATTGTACCTTCGTTTGTTTTCATATTTAAATTTGTATGTAGAGCGCCATGAGCGTTATGCCTGAAGGACCTGGTGTGCTTTATAATAAGCCACCATTATCATTATTATCTTTCTTATAATTTTTTTACTAACAGTAGAGAAAACGTCTCAGCTGGGAATCAAACCTAGAGTATATAGTACAGTCAAACCTGCTTTTAATACTGACCACCTGTCTACAGCAAGCACATTTTTTGTTTCCCTTGAAAATGGTTTCTTATTGAATCATGTACTAAAGGAACCTGTCTACAAAGACCACTTTTGTGTTTCCCTTGGGCAGTCGCTGTAGACTAAAATCAGTACATGATTTGAACAGTTTGGTCTAAAAAAAATATCAAATGCCAAATTGAACCATAAAAAAATACATATAACTAGGCTCTTGGCAGTATGTGATTATTGCCCACATACTCGATAACTCAGAAATGGTCAACTAATATCTTACACTCCTGTTTAAAATATTTCATCCAGGAAGGAGAAGTCTTGAATTGCTGGCTTGCTCTCTTTTGGCTTCTCTTCACTCGGGTGATTCCCCCTTGATGTACTGCAGGTGGTATCCGGTTGGCATGACGACTCCTCATCTGACCACAGCATAGTTGATGATAGAGCAAAAGGTGACCTCCTAGTGTGGAAGGGAAATATAAGAGGGAAATTTCATTTTTTTAAAAACATTTTGTCCAAGAAGGCTCCAAGCAGTGAACATTGTTATAATAATAATAATAATTACAGTGCTTATATAGCGCCTAACACTTACTTTGTCAGAAGTCTCTAAGCGCTCTACAATAATGCAGCATAATTACCCTGGCTTTAGCAGTGCAGCTGTTACGCGCGCTGCGTTTCAAGGAATAAATTCCTACCAGGCACCCATTTACTTCACCTGGGTGGAGTGTGGAAAATGTAGATCAATGTCTTGCCAAAGGACATTAGTCTTATGCTAATATTGTTCTCTTTTTCTTCTCATTCCCCTACATGAATATACGTGTATATCATCCTCATTCTTCATCTTTAATATAACAACGCTCATTCTTCTTCTTCAAAATCAACCCTCTTCATTCAGTCTCTCCTTTCTTCCTGTAGTTTTGCACTTACTTTAATGGGAGCTCTTAGGACTTTCAATGCTAAGAAGTATCAAAGACATATGACATATTTAGTCATTATATTGATATGCATGGTACCAGGCAAATAACAAATTGTAAAACAAAGGAACAAAGAAAGATGAAAAAGGATATTATTTGCTATTTATTTATTTGTATGAGCCATGTCATGACTGCCTGAAGTTAGGAAGAAGTAGCACTTATTATTGCTTCATGTCACAGACATGACACAAATTACACATTGCAAGAAGACAATAATGTAATACATCCAAACTGGTAAAAAGAGTTTCTCCACTTACGCAGTCTTCTTTTTGGGTGGTGGCCTCTTGCGTCCGCTCTCCCCTGCGAACAGATCCGTGATGATGCTAGCCACCCCATCATCTCCTCCATCATCTCCACTCTCTGGTCTTTCTTTCCTCCTATCCCTGTCATCACCATCCTCTCTCCTGGCATTCCTTTCCTCCTCGTCTCCTGGAAGAGAAGTCTTACATCTCCTCTCCTTGGCTGACGTTTCTCCTTCTGAGTTGCTTTCTTCCATCTCTAAGTTCATATCTTCATAAGATTGGTCTAAACCTTCTTCATCTTCTTGGGCATTATTCATGATTAGGCCTGAATCATCGAGTTTGGTTGAATCTGGAAAAGACCCCGAGCTTGCATCACTGTCTTCATCCTAAAAAAAATCGAACAGAAATGTAGCATCAGTGATTGTTCTTGAAAGGAAACTCAGTTGATTAGGAAACTTGGATATCTGATTTTCCATGAAAAAAGTGAGTCTGAATATTCTTCCAGCTAGTTCTTTATACCTCTGTATATTTTTCAGTACTTTGTATTGTGGTGTATACACTAAGTATTAGTTAAGTATTAAAGTACATATCTAAATACATGAAAGCTTTGAAAGCATGCACATCACAACACATTGCAAAAGGCCTTGATAAATATAACATACATGTATATATTTTCTCCCATCATCTGTTTGAAGAAAAGAAAGAGCAAAATACTTGATATCATAGCAATGAAATGAGTAACCTTTAAACTTTAAAATGTGTTTGGGATAACACATAGATATCTCAAACTTATCAAGTACTCTTTTTGCTTGTTCTTTATACCTCTGTTTACCCCCCTCCCCTAATATTACACAATCTACACAAAACTTCATTCCTGTTTTACTTTTTATGTGACTTTTCATACAACTATTAAGAACCTTTTTTCAATTTTGTTTTCAGTTTCAAATATGCTAGTGTCATCCTAACAGCATTTTTTGTTTTCATTGAAAATTTGCTCATGATCAGACTGTTTTTTTTACTTACCTGATTAAGAAATATCTCTGCTACTTCTCTGAGCTCTGTGACAGTCATGCAATAAATTGTTGAAGGCAATCCAGCATATCTATTGCAAGAAAATAAAAGTACAAGAAGAAAAAGAAAAAGGAATATCACATTAATTTTTGTTGTGTTCAAGTTATTACGTAAGTGTGTCAGGATGCATTTTTCTTTAAAAATTTGGAGCTTTGGATTTATTGGACCTGTGTAAAGTTATATAAAACTGTTCCAATGAAGCAAGAAAAGCAATCTTTTCTAGAAAGGTGGTCTTCAACCGATCAAAGCTATCGTGAAGTCACAGCTCTGACAAATGTGCAAATAAGGGGGTAACATTATTTCTCTATTTTTTATCTGAGGATATCATGATATCTAACTGGGTACTACTAACTGAAGTAACTACTGGATGAATTCTGGTAATCGAAATTCTGAGATCATCAGAGCTATATCATGCGCTACTTAACTTAAAAACACAGAACAAACAAAACACTTACTTTTTTTCGGCATTTGTTACGTCATCTTTGGTTTCCTGCTCATTCTTGCTTCTCTTTGGCGTCATCCACGAGGGAAGCTTTATTGTGCGTGTTGATTCTCTGTTTCTGTCTCCGCCACTGTTCATAGTACCTTCTTGATGGCTTTGGGGTTCAATGGTCTTTACTGGAATGGTAGAGCTCCCTCTCTTGGCTCCACTATGCAAGGGTCTGTGTCCTATTTTGCTCCCTTCAGCCGAGATGTGTGAGGCATTGGTTGTGTATTCTTCTTGGAATCTGATAAACATACAGAAAATTCACAGAGTCACACAGGAACTTTAGAAGGGCAACTTGACTTATGAATAGTATATAAGTGCATGAGTTTGTTGGCACATGACTACCTTTAGTTCAGAATGATATCTGAATTTTCTAATAATCACCATACTTGGAGATATAACTGTGGCTGATGTAAAATTTAAGTTGAGATTCGTTTCAAATTTTGTAATGACTATTGTATAGAATCAATTTTTATTGGCTCTTTAGGTCAATACTTGAATACTCAAAGTCAGCAATTCATAAATCTTGTTATAAGTACTGTACATAGCATAAACCCACTGCCTCACCTTCGGAATGTCGGTTTATCCTTGTAGCTTACTCCTAGTACCCTTCCCCACCTCTCCTCGGCAAGGTAAGTTCCTTCTACATCATCTTCAGTGTCACCTCTGATAATCTTGTTGAAGAGGGGAATTGCACTCGGAATCCTTTCGTTGTTCTCTGCAATGTAATCAAAATCTGTGATCGACTCATGAGCAGAGCCTGAGATCCTCGCTCCTTGGCACTGTGCCAATATGTTTGGATTCTTGCAGATCAAACCAGCTGCAAACTGCTTTATTCCAGTTTGAGTAAACTCAGTGGCCCTGCTGCCTTTAGATTGGTAGATGTACACAGTTCCTGGGTGTTGGAGATCGATGTGGTGTAGACGCTGAAGGAAAGATAGGATACCAGGCTTGGGGGATCTGGTGAAACTGCCACTTTGTTTCTGGTCCTTGATGATAACATAGAAAACTGGAATCTCGAGTTTTCTTGCCAGGGCTCGTGTCTTTGCCTGGAGTTTCTTGACGACTGACTTGTAGACATCTCCAGGGTTGGAATCTTGTGAATCTTTGTCATTCGATACTGCAGAGAGAAAACGAAGAGAAAAGATTGTGAGATGTGCTCAAGGAAAGTTTAGGAGAACTTCAGTCCTATTCTTCTAGATTTCTTTCTCTTCGGAATCTATTTATTCTCCCCTCTCTTCTTTTCACCCCCTCCCCTCCCTCTCCCTGTATCTCTCTCTTCTTTCTGTCTATCTGTTCTGTATCACTCTCTTTTCATAATATCTGCCTTACATGACGATAGATTATGAGAAAATTGACAATTTTATAAAATTTTAATAAAATGCAACTTGATGTAAATGAACACATCAACATTTTTGGATGTTCAACAAAGACGGAAAACACGTTATCATTCACATGATTAAGAGGCACATCCTCTCTGTCTTATTTTCCCTTTAAATCTTTGGTGAATTAATATATTTACATTGTTAGCTTACCCTCATCTGGGATTGTTGCAAGAACGATGACTCTCCCACACAATGTGCTATGTTTCCATATCAAAAGAGCTTCTACAAGATCATCAGTCGAATGATCCATCAAACCCTGCCAGTCTAGGAATGCAGCAGGCACTTCAAACTGGAAAGAGAAAAGCAGAGATGCATTAAAGCCTATCTGCACTATTTTGACCAGGAGGGATTAGACTCCCCTGCATAGTCACTGACTATGGTGGTTATCTCATCAAATCAGCTCTCAATTAACATACGAAAAAGGGGACAATGGGGACCAACAGTCACTGCTTAGGCATTGTTTGCTATATAGAGGGCGCAAGTAGCTACGAGTATAAGTAAACATGCCATATTTATCAAAATATTTTCTAGTAATACCCTGGTCACACGGCCAAAACAATTCCAAAGCAACCGATAATAGACAAATCTTTAGCCGATAGGGACAATGTAATTCTGGTTGGTCTTTCATCACTCTGTATGTCAGCGTCATCAGAGTTTATTGAGGTATGAGCAAACAATGACATGAATATCATTGCATGTATCTATTGGTCAGCTTGTGGGCCACTAGTCTGTCCAGTTGTAAGCCCTTTGGTCCGTCTTTACAATGCATTAGGAAGAAACCCATGTAGCATCTCCTGATGGGTACTAGCTTTTGTTACATGTTTGCTCAATTTACCAGAATAAAGCATCATGTAATCATCAAATGAAATTTACAAATTTTTAAGAACAATATAAAATATTGAATGTCTGCTTTATATGTCAAAAACCATATAAAAGTACACACTGCAATGACTACATTAGTTTCTTTATATGTCAGGTAAACTTTTATCAACAATAATTATTCTACTCTACCTTGTAATTGGTTTTTGGCTGAGGACTGGTCTTAATTTGTTTTATCTGGTGCCATCCCTCACTTTCCTCCACAGCATCTAAGCCTGAAACGTGATCACCACTATCATGATGAAACCACATGTGTATTCTGGCTTGGGTAGCAGACAAGTCCACTGTAGGGCATGACTGCTGATGGCTAGGTTTATTCTCTTCTTGTGATGAGAAGTACTGGGCCAAGATCCACTCCCTCCTCCACAGGCATTCAAAGGCATCTTTAGGCTTGAACACATAGCAGATGAACTTGCAGGCAGGAAGCTAATGTGTATATTCAAGAAGAAAAAAAACACACAAATCAAATCGGTTCTCCATAAAAGTTTTTTTCTGCTTTTCATCTGGAAGAACAATTTGTCTTCGATTTATATGGTTCAAGTAGAAATTCTATGAACTTTGCAACAACAACATATGTGGCACTTTGAATATCAACTCATGTGCCGTTCAATTCGATTTGATTTGAAAAGGATATTTTTTACTTACAAACAAAATCTATAATAAGCCTTTTAAGACACATTACATTTGTCAAGCGTACCAGTTCCTGGGATTTATAAATCATACAAACCTTTACTCTGATGCTCTGAATACATGACTGTCTTGTCTTTCGGGACCAGTTTTCATCATCAATCGCCACGCCCTTGCCCTCTCCTAAGATCTTGAGAAGATGGAGGATAAAGTGTCTCAGACCCCAGCTTGGATTAGAGTGGTAAAACTCACTGGCAGACACTCTCTCATGGGACGACTTCAGATGCTGCTCATAGTAACTTGTTTTACCCTGTATAGAAAGTAAGGAAAAAAGGGATCATCAGTCAAAAGTTCAAAACTATCTACTAATGTTAAAAGACATAAAAGAATTTGAGTGCAAAGGCTCCTACTCAATTTTCCCTTAACATTATTATACCCTTCATTTGTTTTCATACTCTCTCAGCCATGAACATTAACACTAAAACCTAGATGCATTCATCTGAAGAAAAAAACTCTGTATGGCAACACTGCACCTTTTTGTCAAGACAGAAATAACCATCTGGCAAGGGGATCTTTTATTAAACTAATGTTTGGCAACTTTTCCCATTGTCAGTGGAGCCAAATGCATTCTGAGCAGTACAACTGTCAATATCAGAGACTGAAGCTTTCGGTCTGTTTTGTCATGCATACTTCAGTAAAACAAAAAATAATTTATGCTAAATCACCAACATTCATGCAAGAAACAAACTCAACCACAGAAACAGCCAAAGAGAGCACCAAACTAATTAAATGAAGAACCCTAAAATACATACAGCAGAACAGAAGTGCTAAAAATAAAGGACTTTAACAGAAGAAGTCCAGAAGTGGTTAAATTTATTTGGCCTGCAATGATTCTTTGCTTGTACAAAAATATTCAGATAAAAGAGCAAGTAACCAGTAGAGCCATAGAGGAACAGAGAATGGAAGAATCCAGATGGTAGATAGAAGAACCAAACAAAGATTGAAAGGTCAACCAAAAAGGATGATTCAGGGGCAATGTCCTAAATAATAATGAAGGATCATGAACAAAAGAGTCATGAGCTGGGTGAAGGTGATGAAAAGAAAATGGAAATGAGGTAATTAAGGACATGAACAGCTGAATGAGAGGAAAGCAATTCCAAGGACTGAAAATAATAAATTTAGGCCTAACCTCTCACAAAGTTAAACTTCTATTCCTACCTCTTATCCATCTGCTCTCAAATAGATCTTGAGACTAGATTATTATTTATTTCACCAATTAATGACCATCAAATCAGTTTTTCTTTTTATTTACTTTGTTATAAAATGTTGACCTTAAACTTGTGAACTCTATATAGCAAACAATGCCCAATCGGTGCCTGTTGATCCCTATCATGATCCTCTTTTTCTTATGTTAATTGATAGCTGATTTGATGAGATAACCACCTGTCAGTGACCTTGCAGGGAGGTCTAATCCCCCTGGCCAAACTAGTACAGACAGGCTTAATATAATCTTTCATATTTTGTGATTTCATGGTTTACGATTCGTAAATTATACAGAAGGAACTAAGAGTAAGGTGAAATGGTGTTGAGAGGAGCTGCTTACACTGAATGGTGGTCCGAAGAAAAAGATGACTTCTTGCATTTTGCTCTTCATCAAGTTCATCAGCCTCAGAAATAAGCTGATGATTATTCACTTCTCTGCCATAATTTCATCTTATGTAGATCTCTAGACAGAGTGTGAATTGTGAAGCTTGTATATCTGGTGGAAAATTTTTGTAAAAATAGAAAAAGGATGCAATTGATATTTTTTGTGAGTTGTCTAACTTACAGTACACTAAAATCACAGTATCAGTATCATTGCACAATTTGTGACGATTGAAAGAAAGTTAAAAAAAAACAAAAGAAAGCAAAAAATATCAATCATAGATCTAGGTCTATAAATAGTAAATTGGGTGTCAGCATGGCTAGGGCAAAAATGTATGAAAGTATGTTGGACAATTAAAAAAGCAAACAAAAAATGAATCACTTCACTTTCTGTTATGTTCTGTCAATGTTCAAGGTTGATGTTCAGCCAAATAAAGATGACAAATAAAGACGTATTCGTAACTTTAAAACTACATGGTGGTAGCATGGACTTTATTCGATGAAGGCATCGATGGAAACTGCGCGCGGTACATTGGGCAATGCGTATACATAAAATGACAAGTCAAGACATGAATAGTCTTAATTTCAGACGTCATACATAACATTCCTCCCCCTTTTAGTGAATTACATGGGTACATCAAAATGAAATACATGTATCAAACTGGCATGCAGACTAGGGCAGAACTATATAACAATATGGTCTTATTTTCTCAAAAAATGTTTGTATAGAGATGTGACACTGGCAAGATAGGAATGTACTCACACAACTTGATTCTATTAAAAAAATCCTATTCCATGTATAACATAAACTAGCAACATTGCTTGTATGCATGTAAATACAACAACACAAAATGTTCACTGTTATAACAACCTATTTTTACTGATCTAAGTTTTACTTGAAGGTTGTTTGACACCCAAGGAACAACACTTTTCCTCCGTGAAAATAGTCAACATATGCATTATTTGATGCATTACTCTATGCAGTACTTTATGCATTACTTTATGCATGAAAACTTTACATGGCAAGAAAATAAAACAAAATCCTTGTACTTTGGATCCAAACTTTATCAACTAACTTATCTCCTGGCATAATAAAGAACAGACCAAAATAAGTGACATTTTCTCCATGAAAATCGTGTAGTATTTTTGATAAAATGTGGAACAATTTACACTGTTACTTTTAAAACATCAACACTTGTGATGAATGCACCAAATTAGCTTTCATCGCTAAAGAAAATAAATGTTTACCTTTTAATCATTGCCTTATAATTATGTAACACATATAAACAACATCTGTTGAACTTTTGCAGACTTATGCAATACAAGATTAAGAATGTTTAACCCCATAACAAATAGAGTTTGATCTACAATAGTTTCACTTGGCATAAATATAATTATCTTGCAAAATAGTTCTTTACTGCTTTGCATTGGCTTTTAGTATGTCCAATTTCCTGGCATTGATAGCATTGCTCTTTCTGAAACGGACAGGATTGATGAACATGTCTTGTCGATCCACAACGCCAACACCTTAACTTCTGGTCAGTCCACTGACCTGTGGGCTTTTCCTTCTCAGTAAGCTTGGAATTCCACTTGCTTGAAGACCTTTCTTTCATCTGCGTGGTTCTTAACTGGTGAACCTCTTTGTCTTCACTACCATTGTCACTGGAGTGCAATTGTTCAACATCTCTATTAGCTATCTCCATGGCCATGGCTACTTTCAACGCTTTATCAAATGTAAGCTCTGATTCACTAAGAAGCTTTCTTTGTGTAGCTTTGTCCTTACAACCAACTACAAGGCGATCTCGAAGCATGCTATTCAATTCTTTAAACTTGCATCCTTCACTCAACTGGCGTAAACGAGCAACAAATTGCGGGATTGTTTCACGTGATTCTTGAACACAAGTATAAAACTTATACCTTTGAACTATTTCAGTTGGTTGGGGGGCAAAATGTTCAGACAGGGTATCCTTACATACTTGGTAAGTTTTATCAATTGGTTTGTTGGGCTGCAACAATGCACGTAATGTGGCATAGGATTTACTTCCTAATCCTGATAAGAATATACCCTTCTTCTTTGCATCTGCTGTAATATCATTAGCTATAAACCATGACTCAAGAACCTCAATCCAATCTTCAAATTTATACCCTGAGTCCAACTGAGGGACATTACCAAACATTTGTGCTGCCATGTTTATGTAAGGCGCATTAAACTTGTAATGAACAACTTTATACCATAACAAATACTTGCATAAATATTTGACTTGAAATACCAATACCAAACAACAACAACATTTGGGCTCTTTCCACTTCCACACATGTATCTAACACATACACATTTCTTTGACAAGCAATTTACAACTGAAGAACAAAATTCTTGACTTAGACCTGGACTAGACTGCAAAGACTAGACGTAATTATTGTCTGATTGTTAATAGGTTCTACTGTTATTTACACTGTAAAAACCCGAGACTAATGTCTAACTCTAAACTTGTAGACCTACTTAGATCCACATCTTCACACTTGAATTACACTTCAACTTGTAATGGTACTAGTCCTGGTCTGGGACTGGTCCTTACACTCAGTTACAAAACAGATTCATCATAACAATCGACAATATTATCAAATGAGTTCTAAATGTTTATTTGCTTGCATCAACATCACCATCACTTCATGATGAGTGGTCTGGCTTTCACTTGGGTGGGTTGCTACTAGTCCGAAACTATGAACTGAGTCAACTGACACTGTCACTGAACTGGATCCTGGTCCTAAATTGAAGGCAATCACGAAGTAACAACTTCCTGTATTTCAATTTTAAGGCTAAAACAAAACACTTCCTCCTCTAGTCTACGCTGCAGTAGATCTAGATACAGGAACCTGGATTCTGAAACAATGTATGCCGGGCGGGGCTGGCTGGGCGGGGCTGGCTGGGCTGGGCTGGCTGGGCTGGGCTGGCTGGCGGGCTGGGCTGGCTGGCTGGCGGGCTGGCTGGCTGGCCATGGGCTGGGCTGAATTGGCTTGCTGGCTGGCTGGGCAGGGCTGGGCTGGCTGGGCTGGGCTGGCTGGCTGGCTTGGCTGGCTGGCTGGGCGGGGCTGGCTGGGCTGGGCTGGGCTGGCTGGGCTGGCTGGGCTGGCTGGGCTGGCTGGCGGGCTGGGCTGGCTGGGCTGGCTGGCGGGCTGGGCTGGCTGGCTGGCGGGCTGGCTGGCTGACCATGGGCTGGGCCTTGAACTTGGTTGGAGCTTTCATGGGCTTGGCTACTGCCACTGAGTTGCATGGCCTACTGTAGTACTACTGCAGCACTGCCACTGGTTGATCGTCAAGTTGAAAGTTAGGCTGGGGGCATCCATTCACCATTCATCCAACTGCGGCTAATAAAGTTAAACTGATGAGGCAACATCAGCAAAACAAATACTCGCTCACCTACGATCAACGGCTGGATCTCCTGGCTAAAGAGTTTTTCATCCAAATTAGGCAAACTCAGCTCCATTAGTTCGGTTCATGCTGAATACATGCTGATGCACAATTCTCCATAGCTGTACGTGCTGTACGGCAAAGCGTTCATAAAAAACTGCACGTGTACAGGCATAATTCCAAACCATGTCGGGTCTCTGCTGGAGAAACTTTTTTCAAGTCTTTATTTCAGCAAACTGCGGCAAACCAAACTAATCATCCCATCCTCGTCGCCAAATGTTATGTTCTGTCAATGTTCAAGGTTGATGTTCAGCCAAATAAAGATGACAAATAAAGACGTATTCGTAACTTTAAAACTACATGGTGGTAGCATGGACTTTATTCGATGAAGGCATCGATGGAAACTGCGCGCGGTACATTGGGCAATGCGTATACATAAAATGACAAGTCAAGACATGAATAGTCTTAATTTCAGACGTCATACATAACACTTTCATACACAGATTTCTAGTTTTTTACTTTCTAGATCCCAAGCACAATACAACATACAAGTTTACAACAAGGCCTCGTGTCATGTCATGGTACATGGACGTGCATGCCATGGTCCGTCATCAATTGTACTCACTATACTCAGCCTGCGGCATGCGGCCTGCCTGCTGCCTTGCCCCACTACTCACTACATCACTCACTAACTAGCTAATCCTCCAGGTCAAAATTAAACTAGACAAATTGAAGAGGTGGAGAATACACAAAAGTAACTGAGTAATGTCATAATGAACGGTTGGTTGAATATCAAGCCTCAAGCCTCAAGCCAGGCTCAACTTCAAGTTCAAGGAATCAACCACGACACGTCACGATTCTATTTCAACAACTTTTAAAGTACATTTCACCTTTTATAAAGACTTTTAGTTTTACAATAATTTCTAGATCAAGAAATCTAAAAAATTAAGTCACTCTCACGCTGTCAATCTTTGAGTTTGAGCTTCATACTATTTTATTAAGTGTAAAGTTGCCTGAATACGTACCTGCACTGCACTGCCCTGCCGCATGCCGCACCGCATGCCCTGAGCTGAGAGCTAGCTGCCCGTCGCGTCGCCTCTCGGCTGGCCTGGCGATCTCTGCTACGGAACGTCGAGCACAGAGCTTAGAGAGCTCGGGCACGGGGAAGGGAAGGGATGCTTATCCGACGAGCACTGACTCGTATCGGAGTTTACCATGAATACAACTGAAGTTAGCGACTATTAGAAGACATAACATGCACACTGTGCGTCAAAAACAGCTTCTAAAGTAGCTGTTAGTGTTAATACCCATTTGTTTGTTACTAAAATTTGCTCTTCTTTATTCATTTTATTCCCTGACAGACGCAATTAAAAAAAAAAAAATTTTAATTGGGAGTTATTGGAGGAATTTGTCTGATATATCATGATTTTCATTAAATTAGTGCTATCTTCAGCTCAAGTGTATGATTCAGTTCATACGTACTAGGCCTAGGCCAACTAGATTTTCGATTACACGTAACTCCCGATCCCAGCGCTAGCCTGAAAACCGACCTCCGATTTGTATTGTAAATGCAGTGGTGTTCTCGTAGTAATTTCGTAGAGCGTGTAGTTTCAGATGATTTAGTAAGTTCAAAATATTAAATTAATTTGAAACTTTGTCTTTTAATTTGGTTGGGAATGAATCGCGAATCGTTAACCACCACCACTTCACTGTGCTGTGTCTGTGCAGTGTGAGTGTGATGAGTGAGTGACTGTGTCATGTGAGTGTGACTGACTGGACCGTGAGTGGGACGTGGGGCCGGGAGCTGGAGTGAAACTAAAGCCTGAGCTACAACAATTGCAATTGACATTGTCATTGACCAGAAACTATACCTAGATCTCTACTAGACTAGAGTCTTTGTTAGTGTATGACTATGAGGATGGCATTTATTTAATTTGTTAACGTTAGTCGTTACTCGGTAGACTTTTCACTTCAAAAGTTAATTGCTGTTCACGTCACAGTGACGTGACAGGTCTACTCTAGACGATGGATACCTTGAATATACCTTGAATACCAAAGCTTCTGGAAGAAAGCCGTCTCCAGCTGCCAAGCTTCAAGGGGGGGGGGGGGGGGAATGTCCCAGTTTCCGGGTCTTGCACCATAGTCATTTTACATCTTTATCTTGCTTGCTGGGTCATATCAGGATTTGTCATAATTGGAGTGTCAACTGGGAGAAGGGTGAATGATATTGCTCCTTCTTCCAGTGTTTGTCAAGTCTGGCTTTAAAGCTGTTTACCGAGGTTACAGATATACTACCAACTCAGGGAGGGAGTTCCAGTCATTGAGGACCCTGTTGCTAAATGAGTCTTGCCTGAGTTTGGTGTTGAACCTGGGCCTGGGTTTGGTCAGTTTGAAAGCATGCCCTCTCGTTGTTGAATTGATTGCAGGTGTGAAGAATTGGGTAGAGTCCAACCTGTCAATGTTCTGCATCAACTTGAACACCTGAATCATGTCTCGGCGGCGGCGATGTTGGCTAAGTGAGGGAAACTTCAAACTCTCAAGTCTCTCATTGGTAGCTTTGGTGTTTTATCTCTGGTACCATTTTTGTTGCTCTTTTTTGTACTTTCTCTATGATTTTTTCGTCCTTCACATAGCGAGGGTGCCAGATTACATTGCTATATTCCAATATGGGACGAACAAGACCTTTATAGAGGAGTGGAATTGTTGATCTGTCCTTGCAAGTGAAAGATCTACGTATGCGAGGTAGTACTCCATTTGCTTTTCCAGCAGCAATTGCAGATTGTTGATGAAATCTGAGCTTCTCGTCAATGACAACTCCAAGGTCCTTTTCTTCTTTGGTTTCTGGGATCTTTAGGCCTACACTGTCTAGCTCATATTCCCTCATATTCCCTAGATCTAGAAGAGAACTAGTGATAATACTGTATAGATATACGTGGAGTCGGGCCAACTCGGACCACAAAGGCAACTCTGCCCAGCTGCAAAAACAAGGTTAGTGTTAGGGTTAGGGTTAGTGTGAAAAGACAAAAACTTACCGTTTTTGCAGCTGGGCTGAGTTGTCTTTGGTCCAATACAGCCCGGATATTCATCTAGATCTACATCATGTTGTGAGTCAAGTTTTTTTGTGACTTTGTCATAATGAATTATGAATTTGATTATGAGTCACTCAAGCAAAGCATAGTAGTCAATGCGTAATGACCTCTAGCATTGTATACATGCTGAGAAAAACTGAATGGTTGCCTCGGGAACAGAGAGCCCGAGTATATTGTTTCTTCTGATGGTCTGTGTCTTTGAAGAAAAAATTACCAACGTGGCAATGACCAATGCCAAATATTTATCAAATTTTTGTAACTGTATCTGATATCGATAAAAAAAGATCTACAGGTATGGTCTTTCCTATTAATATGCCACATAATCTATGTGTACTATAAAGTTGTTTAATTTCTCTTCATAACAGATTCCCTCTGTCGATCCAAGATCATCTGTATTCATCCTGTCCAACTTCAACATGCCTCGCCCTAATCGGCAAGTGCTCCGACTGGGCTCCCAGAGCAAGATTGAGCTCAAGGAGAAGATTCTTCACATTTATGACATATTCTTTCAGGTAAGGTGACCTTAGTATACTTTGGTCCATATTCTACTAATTCAGTTAAACCCAACCTCAGGTTCTGAAATCACACTTAACAAAATGAATACTTACACCTAAGACTACCGTAACTTCCTGTGTTACACCATGCACCAGGGGGTGTTTCACAAAGATCCTAAGTTGAACTTGTCTTTAAGTTGGACTTAACAATTATGAAAAGCCGTTAGCATAGAGACATACTGTGATATGCGCTATATAAGTACGGTATATTATTATTATTTTTATGAAAATATTTTGTGAAAGTTATATAAAATGTGTTAATATATTCTATTATCAAGGAGATTCATGTTCTTGATGTGGAATTTATGAATGAACCCCTGAACCTCCCTTTATATCTCATATCATCTTATACACTTTCTACAGGGACAAGATCCTACAAGAGACAACGCCAACTTTTGGGAAGAATTCTTTCTCCTGAAGGTAAGTTATAGATCTCTAATTATATCTTTCATCTATTAACTTTTTCGTACCGGTAATTGCTTCAACGTGTGTGTATTAAATTCAGTAAATAGAATAGTATTCTGACAAATGAAACAGTAAGGCAGAGAATGCGTTATGAATGTGGAGTTGTGTGTTTTTTCTGTGGATTGCTCAGCAATTTTGCTACTCTCACAATACCATTTCATCTAAATGGCAACCTCTGTGAAAGAGTGACAGGAATTAATACTCTTGGACAGATTTGTTTCCCTAACAAGTAATCAAATTGCAGAAGTTTCATATTTGTAAGGATGTATACTCATTTCTGCATTTGTTGCCAAATTTATTTCTGTTTTTTTCTTCTGTAAATTGAGGCTGACTTCTTGTTTACAATGTAATGCTAGTTAAATGCAACAATATGAGTTCAGAAAATGAGTGCTTTTGCCTCCTGACTTATGGATGGGTACCATATATGCTGTACTATATTACATTTTCAGTCAGTTTTTAATGGAGATGATGGAATGATTTAGAATTTTCTTTCTTTTCTTTCTAGGCAAATGTGAGTTACATTGAGAAGGAGCTGGACAAATTGACCCCAGCAGGACTGCTAAACCTGAAAGTAAGTTCTACCCAGTAAATGCCACTTATCAGGTCATTAAAAAATGCAATGTAAGATACAAATCATATTTAACTTATTATTGTAAACATTGAAAAAACTACATATGTTATGTATTCATGTAACTTTTTCATGACAGCTAAAACAAGATTAATTGATTTATACAAATCTCAATGGAAAAAGGGTTTAGAAACAGTTGTACAGACTTATGTAGTACACATTTGAAAACAAATTCAGAGATTTAAGAAAGAGAAGTCCATATCACAACGTGCAAAAGTTATGATTACCACAGTGATTAATTCCATGATGACAAAATACACTGTAAAATTTATTTGAATATACATTATGATAAAGAATAATAGTTTGTATTACATCCAAAGTATGAAACAAAATTGTTTGTGTACTGAGGAGATCTAGGACCAGGTGTTTTCATGTACCGTACATTAAAAATGTTATGAATGCAAGTACAGTAGTAGTATGTGTTCATGTTTGCTTACATTGTCATGTTATCATGTTCTTGCTATGATACAGGAAAACATCAATGCCTTGTTCTACCATTGTGTGATGACTCTTGAAGAAAGCTATCCTATCCGCGTTGTGAATGCCCTTCAGGTTAGTGTTATATGGAATTCTAGTTGAGGACTCTTGTACAATGCAAACAGTGGTTTGAGCCCTTCCCTGTATACCACAATGCACTGTTTAGCAGATAGCATGACAGTATACAGAAATTAATTTGACGTTTTTATCTGACAGATATTATTAGTGGAGCTGTGAGCTGAGTGATTAAATATTAAACTTGACATGCTGCAATTACTGACTTTCTTTATTTCATTGTTATTATTATTATTCTGCCAGGTAAACGTTAAGTGCAACTTCTAAAGGGATAACAGCCCGTTGTCCATTTCAACGGTTCAACAGATTTCGGTCACAGCACTTAACTCAACCGTAGATGTATCTGCTTAAATTGTTTGTGAAAAAAATATGTTTTTTTACATATTTGGCTTTTTTTCTGTTAAGGATAAGATATATTTAATGCTTTGCCATCTTGTTGCTTTTATAAATCATCCTTAGGGAGAATTGTTTTTATTTTCCAGAGCTCTATGTTAGTTCGCCAGAGCTAACGTACATTCATGACTGCCTTACGTTTTTCACCGGCAAATCTCTCATTCCTTTTTAGACATTATGTGCCTTGATTCGAGGTGTTTATCAGAAGGCCATGGTGGATCATGCCTTTGATGTGATCAACATTCTCATTGGCTTTGATTCTGCTGAACAAGTCATGCAGGTAAGTTGCTGAATTTGAAATACTCCTTGTATCGTGTTGCCAATTTAGTGATGCAAGGAACTCTACCATTGAGAAATAACATAGAAGATTTTAATATGTAATTTATTTTACTTTGTTTAGATGAACAAGTCATGCAGGTAAGTTGCTGGATTTTAAACAAATCCTTTTATCGCTTTGCAAATTTAGTGAAGCAAAGAACTCTACCATTGAGAAATATCATAGATGTTTTTAATAACTAATAAATTTTACTTTATTTAGCTGTGAGGGGTTACTAAACGGTTAGGTGCGACTAGCACGTACTATTATCTTACCCCTTTTACCTACCAATAGTTTCTCTTCTCGTATACCGGTATATCATTGTATGAAATGTAATGCTGTTGGTATATAAATCAAATCAAATCAAATAAAATAAAATCAAAATTAGTGATGAGAAGAGCCGAGGAGAAATCAATTTCTGACTTTATGTTAATTATGGGCCCCTTATTTTGTGAGGAGTTACTGTTGATGCAAATCTGTCATACTCCCAATAAATTGAAACTGGATCACTGAAGTTAAGGAATAAACCACGAATGACGCTTTGAATGGCATAGGTAGAGCTTGAAAATCAAGCTGCAATTTTATTCAATCTGTGAATGCAAAAGAGACACAAAAGGATCATAAATACATGTACAATCTTTGCACATATAAATGAAGACTGATATATCCAAACATCAACTAAGCTAATGAAAGCTAAATGCCTACATCAAATTAACTGTATCAACTTCAAGCTAGACATATACTATCATTGAATCAACAGATAAACAAATCTAGAAGTTTCTGACAGTGCAGTTTCTATGCTCTGTTCTGAAACTGAAATCAAGTCAAATCACTACTTTAACTCCTTGAAATGTGTAGTGTAACCTCATTATAACAAACTCACTAAGACAAACTAAGGAAACTTCCCCGCTAAATACGAAGACTAATCTAAACATCACCGAAACAACGTCTCGTTAATCAAATGTAAGATTAAACCACTAGTCCTTTGTTTACATCATAACTCACAAACTTCCATTTATAGAGCAAACATTCCAGTTTATAAGCTTATTCTGTTTTGTTCATTCATGTATTTACTAACTCAACTTTCTCACTTAAACTATCACTCTAAATGGCCAACAATAAGCCCCAGCTTAAATAGCATATTAAACCACCTGAATACATTGTATTAAACATATCTACATAGATGAAGCAGTATTTAACATCGCGTCTGTATGTTATGCATTGTCATTTCTGAAAACAATAAGACTTCCAATGTAACTCATACAACATAGACCCTATCACTTTACAGTTTTGTGCATAGCGATTTATAAACCGTACTCAGTACACATTGATTGTGGAATATCATTTTCCCTCAACAACCTGACCAAAACACATTCTTAAATCACCACATATCAAAAGCATGATATTTTAAAGATAAACTTACTTCTATGGCGACATTTCCTGGCTAACTAAAACAACATAGTAAGACTTTCGTCTCCCGTGGATCCTTTCCTGACGAAAGAAACATGGCATCTGCGAACACGTCGCTCTGAACTAGAATTAGCATAAATTCGCTCTGAACTAGAATTAGCATAAATTCCATACGCGCTATGGTAGACGTAAATTAAGCTACGGTGTCTTCTGAATTAAAAGGAAAATAATTCAGCTAACTCCTGGTTTGTCAACAAACCAGAAACATTTTTAATTGCATATCTCCTATTTACAAAATAGTGATTTATGTCAAAATATAGTACAGATGCAATCAATTTGTAGCAGTTGTAAATAATACAAGCGCCATGGTCTTGAATATTCAGGGTGCATAGAGTTTTGTGCCTGCATGTGACTGAGACTGGTGTATGTTCTTGAACCCATTGTCTTATAGATGCTGATAGAGAGATTGAACAACATCTTGACAGGAGACCAGTCTGTCAGTCTGAAGAACCTTGCCTTGAAAGTGCTTCTTGTCATCTCAACAGTAAGTAAAGCATCCTAACAAATCAAATTAATATCGTCTTTATTCCTATGATTTGGTTAATTGATGGAATCGTAAAAGCTCATCAGTTTTATACTATTTCTGTGTTTGGTTGAATTTTAACTACATGTACATTGTATTCTATATAAATAATGGGTAGAAGTAGAGAATAAGAGGCTGTAAGTAATATAGCATAATAATTTGATTTATCTTTTAAACAGTTAATAATCATGAATTTATCAGAACAGAAAGCATCAGTAGATTATGATATATATGTATTTCTTTGCTCATTTTATACAATAATCATATAAATCAGTTGTGACCTTGTAACTAAACTTCCTGAATCTCTTAAAAGTTTGTTTTGTTCTTTTCAGGTTGCTAACAATGTCAGTCAAAACACATTACTAGAATACCTGATGATGAACAGTGTCTTTGAGTCTATTGTACAGGTAAGAATTGATTATTCAATTTCTGAATGTGTTTTTAACCATTTGTAGGGGGGGGGGTTGCTATAACTCATAAAATGGTTCAAATATGTTAAATTGCATGAATTATTGGAGTACTGTGTGAAGAATGAATTCAACTAAATTTATGTATGAAAAAACAAACAAAACTATCAATAAAAGTGATTAGTTAAAGGTGAGTGAACATACAGAATAACTCTGTCTGAAAACCTGCATGTATGTATTTATAATTCTGTCTGGGATTTATTTCAGATTTTTGCCAACCCGGTTGCAAGATGTGAGCATGGTTATGAAGCGCTCCTCTTGCTAACACTCCTTGTCAACTATAGGAAATATGAGGTAAGTCAATCGCGCAGAATAAGCTCTAAACTATTGTGATGCTTTTTACGGAGTAACCCCTTTAAAGCCCAACTGCACTACTTATAGCTACTAACGCCCTATATATAGCAAACAATGCCTAGGCGGGTGTTGGTCCCCCAAGATCCCCTTTTTCTTATGTTAAAGGGATCCGGTAACTTTGTCTTAGATCCTTTAGAAATAATCCTTGATTTAGCTCATGCTGCAATGATAATTATAAACCTTTAGGTCAGTCAGGAACTCCATGACTTTTACAAGCCGATCGCCTGTCTGATTATCAAGATATTAATGATTGGAATTACAAATTTTGAAAACCGTTCGCTGAACCGCTGAACGGTTTTCATAACACTACAGTCTATTGGGGAAAACGAGTGTGGTAAAACCGGTCACTCAAAGATTTTTACTTTTTTGAGGCACTTCTTGATCAGTTTGAAGCGCGATTTTTGTTTAGGGCTTCAATATTACACCATATCACAGACACTGGTAACATGTAGGATGGTGTATCTCAGATTTAACATTGTTAAACAATCCCTTTAATTGAGAGCTGATTTGATGAGATAACCACCTGCCAGTGACCATGCTGGGAGATCTAATCCCTCCTTACCATACTAGTGCAGACAGGCTTTAATAGATGTGTTTTGGAATATGGAGGTATGGGACAAGTCATAATTGGCTAGGTAATAATACTACATTTGTACCTTTTAGGTGCCTTCAGCATCCATGTACATGTAGAGCTATTATGAATATTCACTTTTTTATTTATTTCTTTTTCTTTGCAGTCAGCAAATGCATACATAGTGAAGCTTTCTATTCTGGACGATGAGCTAGCTTTGAATGTAAGTAGTTTGTAGTTTACTGAGTGCTGTAAGTGTCTTTTATAGGGCACCAGTCTGAATGCTCCCCAGGGAGTGGAGAATGTGTATATATTGTGTGCGGGCAAGCTTGAATCCGATGACCGGGTCATAATATATCTGTACAGCGCTTAGAGACATCGTTGATATCCTAAGTTCTATAAAAACCCAGAATATTATTATTATTTAGTAACAAAATAATCTAAAGAAATCCAAAACTATTGAACAATCTGTAACAGAAGTTAATGAGGGAGAGAGGTTTCACTAAAGAGTAAAGAAATTATTGAACTTTTGTCTTTTTTTCCATCAAGATTATTAACATACTAGTAACTAATATCATAACTCTTTAGTTAATTTGATTTTATTGGAAAGGAATCATTTTAAATTTTGGATTGATGACGACTCAAAAAGCTTGATTTCATACTTTTTTCCCCACAAGAAACAAAGACTACATGTGTGGTCTCGTCAGGTTCTGTATTTGACTTCCAGTATAGAACCACTGAATATTGGGAGATAAGTTGTATGGTGTGGCTAGAACATGTCTTGTACTTCACAAAGATAATTCTTTAAAATATTGACACTGATATTTATTTTTACCATCTTGCAGGGGTTGGGTCATGTCATATCAACCATACTAGGAGACTTCAATGGGTAAGAAACTAGTTTTAAGCCTTTGCTTACGGGAACCTGGTGGTCCCTGTGCTAAGCCTATGGGACTTTCACAATGCAGTAGTCAACAGGTTAAGAATGAGAAATCTTAGAAAAAATGACAATGTAAATGAATGAATGAATAGGTACATGGATGGATAACACAGTGAATCTTATATTCAAGTGATAGCAGAATCAATTTGTCCTGTAAGCTGTATTTTGCTCTCATTCATAACACCATCAAGGTTTGTTTTTGTGTATGAAATGTTTGTCTTGATGGGGCCCACAGTATGAGATTTCATATAAAGCATTTAAATAAAGATATGATATAAGCTTCACCTATTTACCAGAGCACTGGCGAGGCAAGCATTGGTCAAGTTAATTCCAACACAACCCCCTGCCCCTCCGGCAAATGCCCCTAGAGCATCAACCCCTTAAGACAAACCCCCCTTGCTTGGACTGGGACTTTTTGAAGGAATGTTTTTTCTAGGGGTTACTCGTTTGAGATTAGGGACTTTTCGATTTGCACGTTCACTAGTGGACTGCTACTTATGCGGTCATTTTTGAAGCAGGGTTGACGAGGCACACTGACTATTGTTTGTTACCTATTCGATGTGCATGCATACTGCTTAAAAAATGACCTCATGTAGGTAGTTTAGGATCAGTGCAGGAACTTAGTATCAGGAACTTAGTATTCCATTCTGTATTGATTAGCATTTGTTTAGATATATGTATCTTTATTAGTGTTGAATGTTTGTTTACTTGTAGGAAGTACAAAGTTAAGCAAGATGAAGAGAAGGGAAGTGGTTGGCTCTCTTCAATAACATCAATGGTAAGTTTGGGTTGATAAAGCATTATGATTATTGCATTGAGTAATCTTCAAATTTTAATAAAAAGCGCTAGATTCGTTCATGTACTGTCATTTCATTTTTCTTGCCCACTCTTCGCCCAAATTCCTGTAGGCAAAAAATGAAGAAGAAATATTTTATACTAAAAAGGAAGTGTGATGGAATACGGACTCAAAGGATTTATGTGACTTCTAGTTTAAACACGTTGCTGCAATTCAATGATGAAACAAAGGAGACATCCGTTTAACTCATGTTGGTTCCTTTATTGTGACACCGTCGTGGACCATCATTGGAAAGTGAAGAGAAAAAATTCAACAACTGTGTGGGATAATTCCTGCAAAATACAACAAATGAAAACACTAAATATATGTTCTTGCAATACGTTTAACACTTAGAAATCCAATTTCCACATATACTCAAGTTCCATTCGTGTGTCAGTAATTCTAAACTTTATAGTTATAATAATATGCCAACTTTCGATAAACCACAAATCTTTAAAGAAGCATAAATGCATAACCATAGACAAAAGAATAATCAATAACACAAACAAGAAACTTTCTCAAGCCCTAAAAAGAGACTAACAATCATGAACTTATCACGTTATCTCTAAAATGATATTCATCCGCACATTAAATCGTGCGTGAAGAGGTTCTCGTAACTAAGATACCTTCACACGTACATACGCAAGCAAACTTAGTTTGGTCTTAACTTATTTGAAGTCTACCCATGCTCATAACTAAATTAAATTCACATATCATCTTCCTGACAACCATCAATTTTAAACTGCTTTATATCTTTTCACAAAGGAAAAGGTCTTCAAAAGACCGTCTTAACTATCAATCAAACTTTCAACGAATCCATGTCCGCGATTCGTTTCACGTCACTACACACATTCATAAAGGCTATCGCTTCCATAGTGCGACTGTAATCTCTACAACTTGCAACTACTGTCAGTGGCATTTTAAAGCACTGTATTTTAAGAAATATAACTCGATGAATAAACATACCTTAAGGATTATCTAAAGAGTTCCCAACTCAACATAGAAATGCTGGAACTGCAAGCAAACTGCTAAACTGTTAGCGACTGTCGTCGCTGTTGGCGAACTGCCATTACGTAGATAACAACTCTCGTCTTCCCCTTCTTCTCCGAACTATTTCTTCTAGTCTCGTCACAAGTCTTAAACATAACTTTCAGAACAAGAAAAGGGTCATTCCATGACATCCCGCCCCCTCAAACGTGACGGAAGTCACTAGAATACATGACAACTAGGTCAATAACATTACACTCTAAACAACTCTAAACAACAAAAGGGTGTGAAAACAATTTTAAACAATCTTGGATGCTATGTGCAGACTCATTTACTTACACAAATGTTTCTACCATGAATACCTTTTGCATATAAACTTAAACAACGTGAACAAGCTGGATGTGTTCCATAGTTAGGCACAATATTAAGAACGGGTGTCTCCAGTACAAATATTCAAAACATTTTGAGTTATTTACAGTCCATGCTTCCTATGGAGTTTCACAATTAACTTTAACTTTCAATGCCCAATTATCCAGATGGGCAAACTATATTCGTAAACAAAGGTTCATCAGTTCAGTTTAGCTACATCAAACTAAACATCATCTCTCTCCGTTCTCTTCAAAAGAAGAATCAATTTGGTCACGGGTCGCTTGACAGTCGTCTTGTCTAACGAAGCCCGACAACGTGCACTAGTTCATCGCGTCCTGCGAAAGTCTGAGTGATCTCTGCCATCCACCAAGTTCCACATCTCTTGTCCTCCCCGATGACCAACACGATGTCTTCCACCTCTACGTTCTCTGAAGTTTTCTGGTTCTTTGGTCGAGGAGAAAGTTTGTGTAGCTCAGCGAAATGCACATACATGTAATTGCTCAGGTAGCTCAGCGTAATGCACATACATGTAGTTGCTAAGGTAGCTCAGCGTAATCAGGTAGCTCAGCGTAATGCACATACATGTAGTTGCTCAGGTAGCTCAGCGTAATCAGGTAGCTCAGCGTAATGCACATACATGTAGTTGCTCAGGTAGCTCAGCGTAATCAGGTAGCTCAGCGTAATCAGGTAGCTCAGCGTAATGCACATACATGTAGTTGCTAAGGTAGCTCAGCGTACTCAGGTGGCTCAGCGTAATGTACATACATGTAGCAGCGTAATCAGGTACATGTAGCTCAGCGTAATGTACATACATGTAGCAGCGTAATCAGGTAGCTCAGCGTAATGTATATACATGTAGCAGCATAATCAGGTAGCTCAGCGTAATGTACATACATGTAGCAGCGTAATCAGGTAGCTCAGCGTAATGTACATACATGTAGCAGCGTGCCCATGCAGAGAGGTGATGTGGTGCTTACTCTAACACCTTACTCTAAAACATCAATAGGGAGCACCACAAAAGAGCGTAGACAAATAGCTCGTAGAGGGGTGTCACAGATGGGTGATCCGGTGTTAACGCCAACGCCAATCTTGAAATAATTCGTGTCACAGACGTGTGATCCGGTGTCAACGCTAACGCCAATCTTGAAATAATTAGTGTCACAGACGGGTGATCCTTTAAAACATCAGTAGGAAGCACCACAAAAGAGCGTAGACAAATAGCTCTTAGAGTGGTGTCACAGATGGGTGATCCTCTAAAACATTAGTAGAAAGCACCACAAAAGAGCATAAACAAATAGCTCGTAGAGTGGTGTCACAGATGGGTGATCCTCTAAAACATCAGTAGAAAGCACCACAAAAGAGCATAAACAAATAGCTCGTAGAGTGGTGTCACAGATGGGTGATCTGCATGGTGCTAACGAGGGCGAGGGCTGACGTGCTGAGAATATTGATGCAGTGGCTGCTGGTGATGCTTGCTGGATGGTAGACTGAGTTCAAAACGTGGTATTTGCCTGTAGAGCTGCTTCCTGTGCATCAGGCCGGGTGAACTGCACAGGTGCTGATGCGCTAATGGGATTGCGAGCCTCAAGGAACTTTCTTGCATGTACCATGCTCTGAAAAAAGGATTGCTCGCATTCTGCCATCCACTGTTCCTCCTGGGCATATGCCTCTTCATCTGTTGTGTTTTCTACCAGCTCATCATGTTTGGTTTCCACCTTGGTAGTTCTTCAGCATTAGGACATATCCACCGCATCACCTGTGGTCACCAACTTCTCGATTGCTGTCAAAGCGCGGGTAAGACCCCCTTTCGAGTTTCAGCGAGGGAGTGTAAGCTCGTTTATGTCCATCACGTTTGAGTCCGTGAATCAAAAACTCCAATAAAGACAGTTGTTGAAGATGTGATGGAATACGGACTCAAAGGATTTATGTGACTTCTAGTTTAAACACGTTGCTGCAATTCAATGATGAAACAAAGGAGACATCCGTTTAACTCATGTTGGTTCCTTTATTGTGACACTGTCGTGGACCATCATTGGAAAGTGAAGAGAAAAAATTCAACAACTGTGTGGGATAATTCCTGCAAAATACAACAAATGAAAACACTAAATATATGTTCTTGCAATACGTTTAACACTTAGAAATCCAATTTCCACATATACTCAAGTTCCATTCGTGTGTCAGTAATTCTAAACTTTATAGTTATAATAATATGCCAACTTTCGATAAACCACAAATCTTTAAAGAAGCATAAATGCATAACCATAGACAAAAGAATAATCAATAACACAAACAAGAAACTTTCTCAAGCCCTAAAATGAGACTAACAATCATGAACTTATCACGTTATCTCTAAAATGATATTCATCCGCACATTAAATCATGCGTGAAGAGGTTCTCGTAACTAAGATACCTTCACACGTACATACGCAAGCAAACTTAGTTTGGTCTTAACTTATTTGAAGTCTACCCATGCTCATAACTAAATTAAATTCACATATCATCTTCCTGACAACCATCAATTTTAAACTGCTTTATATCTTTTCACAAAGGAAAAGGTCTTCAAAAGACCGTCTTAACTATCAATCAAACTTTCAACGAATCCATGTCCGCGATTCGTTTCACGTCACTACACACATTCATAAAGGCTATCGCTTCCATAGTGCGACTGTAATCTCTACAACTTGCAACTACTGTCAGTGGCATTTTAAAGCACTGTATTTTAAGAAATATAACTCGATGAATAAACATACCTTAAGGATTATCTAAAGAGTTCCCAACTCAACATAGAAATGCTGGAACTGCAAGCAAACTGCTAAACTGTTAGCGACTGTCGTCGCTGTTGGCGAACTGCCATTACGTAGATAACAACTCTCGTCTTCCCCTTCTTCTCCGAACTATTTCTTCTAGTCTCGTCACAAGTCTTAAACATAACTTTCAGAACAAGAAAAGGGTCATTCCATGACAGGAAGAATTGAAATGAAAAACAGAATAAAGTAAGGGGACAAAGACAGATATCCAAAGAAATTAGGAATGATATAAATCTATACATTTAAAAAAGTTATGTTTTTCCAATTTTGCTCCCCCCCCCCCAAAAAAAAAGTAGTATAAACCAATAATTGCAGCTGATTGAAATGGTGTAGGTTTAAATTTACCTGTCATTTCATGATCTTGAGTACAACATGCACAGGCATTAAATGGGTATATTCAACTAACTAAATTTTGTACGTGTGGGACTACACACTACATTCTAGTTGAGAAACATTATTTTCTGAGTGAGATCTTCTGGCAGGCATCAGATTGCACATGTGCCATGCGTAACAATGGTCTGCTGACACATCTCATGTATGGTACATGATGTTGCAAGTCATCATCTGTTCTGAACCAGAAGGATCTGTTGAAGTTAGGTTTACATTTGTACATATAATTCCAAATGATATATCTTTTATGGTTAGTGAATTAAATTGAAGAGAACATTTTTTTTCCAGGAATATTTATCAAACCATGAAGTGTGATGTAATTAAACATTATTTATGAATATTATGCAAATTTTTATCTACAAAACTAGAGCAGAATATGATGTAAAGCCGCTAATTTGGTGTAATATGCACAATTTGTGACATATGGGCAATATATGAATATTCATCAGATATGGTAATAATCTGAATACACTAACTTGTCATAGAGAGACTGAAAGTGTACTAGAGGCAGTTGATTTGGATTCAATCATACAATAAAATTGAAATAGGTAAGATAATGCCCTTGTAATTCTGTAGGGGGAGTTAGAGTCTTTACGAATATTAATGAGCTAATTTGCATATAAATCAAGTATTAAAGGCCTCTTGGGATATGCATTTTTCAGTGAATTTTGCAATTATGTGTGCAATATTGCTGCAAAGGACAAGGTTTCTAATGTTTTCAATTTGTGGTTCCATTTCTACCAATTAACTCTTAATAACATCAAAATATTTTCTGAGCCTTGCCCCACATAGCAGCAACTATAAGTATTAATGCAAAGGGATTTCTGTCAGTAGCACATTGTAAGCTGTAAACTTACCAATATCCTGGATTCATGTTGTGCATTTTTGTTTACATGCAGGTTGGAAACATGTTTGTTTCTGAAGAATCAGACACACATCGAGCTTATGTGTAAGTAAGATTGTGACAGAAGAACAAAAGATAACTTGGTCAGGATTAGGATGGGCAACTTTAATTTCTTTTGTTTATTTATAAATATGAAAACTTAACAGTACTGTTTGTTTGCATCCTTGCCCAGCATAGTTGTGCACACAGAATCTAGGATTTTCAAACATTCAGTTACAGTTTAAATTGTAGTCCAAATTATTTCAAAGAAAACTTGTTTGAGGCTGCACTGACATAGCAACATACATACATGTTGGTTATGAAGAAATTGTAAACATCTTCTACATGTGTGAGGTTTTTGTCTTGATCTAACATGTTTCATGAAGGTACATGTAGCTTTTCCCAATCTTGAGCTGTCATGTATATTAAGGATAACTTGTTTGAGGCCACACTGACATAGCAACATCCAGGACCAATATATACATTTTGGTTATGAAGAAATTGTTAACATCCTCTACATGTGTGAGGTTTTTGTCTTGATCTAACATGTTTTATGAAGGTACATGTAGCTTTTCCCAATCTTGAGCTGTCATGTATATTAAGAATAACTTGTTTGAGGCCACACTGACATAGCAACATCCAGGACCAATATATACATTTTGGTTATGATGAAATCTTTAACATCGTCTACATGCATGAGGTTGTGTCTTGATCTTACATGTTTTATGAAGATACCTGTAGGCTGTAGCCTTTCCCAATCTTGAGCTGTTATGTACCATATGGATAGTGGGTGTAATTACCAATTACTTAGCTTGTATGAGGTTTACCGGTCACTGCAACAACTAATATTTGTATGTAATTATGAAGTTGAAATAGTTCAATATTGTTATATGGAGGACATTTATTTAAGTATTGAGTTTTGTAGAGAAAATTGCATTTACATGATTTCTTGGTCATCTTGCTACTACTCATAACAACTAATGTGGTGCCTTTTCATTTTGAATAATTATATAAGAGCAAATTTGATTCATGTTTCTTTCTCCTCAATTAATAGGAGAGATCCCAATAATGCAACTTTGCTGGCTCTCTACGAAGCAGTACATCTCAACAGAAACTTCATAACAGTACTATCACATGTAAGTTCAAGTATCAAATCTTCTTAAATTAAAATATTTGGACATTTATTAAGTGAACCAAGAAGTTTTTTCCGCATTTTTCTTTTACTCAAGTATCATTTAGTTTTTATCTTAAAGAGGTAACTTAATTATTTTTTAAAAACATTTGGGTAATTTTTTTTTTTTTTTTAATCATTTTATTTTGCTTTGTTTTTGTTTACCAGAATGTTTTTTTGTGTACATTGTTTTCTTATTAAATTTACTCTCCACTTCTTCTCTCTCTATGTCTCTCCTACCACTTCTTACTCTCTCTCTCTTTCTGTCTCTCTCTCCCTTTGCACATGCTTTCACTTTTTGTCCCTTTATCTCTTTACTTCTCTCTCTCTCTCTCTCTCTCTCTCTTTCTCTCTCTTTGTCACTCACTGTTTAATAGTTTTGCTATAGAACTGGAATGAATGTATTAATTCAGTCAATGTATTTTTGTTAATGTCTTAACTAGAATCATTCGGACCCTACTACCGGTAGTGCCCCCACCACACCCACCTCTCCTCAAGCACCAGCAGTGCCTAGTGTTGTCAGTAGTAAGTCTGTCACCATTTTGATCTCTCTGCTGTACAGTTGTTACCAGTTGATAGTGAAAGTGATATGATTTTCTTTATTTTAAATCTCTTAAAATACATCCATATTTACATGTCAACTATATACACAGGTCAAGCTGCTTCTAAAGCTGTCTCACATAAATACAAAAGTAATTCTTGGAGATTGTGCTTTCAGTTGTGCTGCTCCAAAGCTTTGTAATAATCTACCACTAGACATAAGAAAAGCCTCATCTGTTGCCGTCTTTAAAGCTTTGTTGAAGTTGTTTTTAGAAGCTTTTGAATAGTTTATGATTGTATGTCCATAAAGTAGTATGGTTAGCGTTTTTTCTTCTTCATCACAGTGCAGTAGAATAAATTTGTGTAGTAGCTGTGGTATATAAACTGATCTAATTTTTAGATATAAAAGTAATCATATTATATTTGAATAATCCAAAGTTAAATGTATAAGAATTTCATATTTTCTTCTGTTTATATGAAGAAAAACTCATTCAAGGTCTTGTGAAATAACAATTATTAATTCATTATAAAAATATAAAAGAACAAAGTTTAATTTAGCATTAAACTTGTACAAACATTCGTTTTGGCTGTAGCTCTGTAGTTTTCTACTAATCATAGTTTTTGAGAAAAAAGCATCAACAGAAGTTCCAAAATGTTCTCTGTTTTTTCTTCAGATTTGCAGAGCCCGCCGACAGGTGTAGGAGGTACAACTACCGGAGGGTCCACCAACATCCTTGTGACCTTCCTTAGTTACTGCTCTATCATCATGCAAGATCTTAAAGGTAACTCAAGAACACACACTCTCTCTGTCTCTCTGTCTCTCTCTGCCCCCCCCCCCCCTCTCTGTCTCTTTCTGTCAGCATCTTTCTATTTTTCCTTTCTCGTACCTTCCCGTTCTTTCAATATGTTTGTCTGTCTATTTTTTGTCTATCTGTCTGTTTCTGACTTCTCTCTCCTGTATATTTGCTTAAAGTTTATCAAATGTTGATTGTATTCTAAAAACTGTGAGCTCTTAAGTTTGTTAATTGTCATAACAGATCTTTACCATGGTAGGTCATGTTGACATCTGCAGGTAGCTGGCTCCATATAGTTTAGAAAGACATCTGTACAAGCACCAATTATAAGTGTTTTTGCTGTGCGATTTTGATTTGTTATGACAACCAACATACCTGTAACAAAAAACGCTATCACAATTTTCAGAATATGGCCTCAAGAGGGTTGACAAAGTATTCAAAGCTAGATATTTATTGATTATAGATATCAAAACTTAAGTAACATCGATCAAATTTTTCTCTCATAGATCATGAAAGATTCAAAATCACCAAGCTATGCTTGACTATTCATGTTTTACTGACAACGATCTGTGAAATGATGTCTAAAATATGAACCGTTCAGTTATATTTCTCATCTTGTTTGAAATGAAATCATTTACATAATATTAATTTGGGGCTTAACTTTAGAACACCCAACCAATGGGGTGTATTAACATGAACGTCCAACTTCTAAGGTTAGAGTTAGGGGTAGGGTCAGGGGTAGGGTTAGGGTTAGATTTAGGAGTAGGGTTAGGAATAGGGTAAGTGTTACCTAAGGAACTTTAATCTTTAGATTTAGCTTCAATGGTGAAGCTTTGGTTAACCTACGAACGTCTAGTCAATTTTGTGGTAAGGTACTCTAAAGTTGCTCCAAATTTTGTTTGATTTTTCCCCCCTCACAGATGATGAGAGGTTCAGCAACACCAAGCTATGCTTGATCATTCTTTCATGTATTGCCGAGGACCAGTATGCCAACTCATTTCTCCATGATGGTAATCTCACATTCAGAGTTCCCCTTCACCAAGCAGTGAGTATAAAGCATTCTTCCGCTTGGGGAAGATATTACCAGTGTTAAAGGTAAAACAAAGTTTTGGGAAATTTTGAAAATTGGGTGGATAGTGAATCTTTACAATTTTGATATATTTGGATGCCCCTGTGGATGTACTATAAGCACTAAAAAAATTAACCCCTAAAACACTTCGGTTTTCGAGAAAAATTGAATATAAAAATTTACCAGTGCTCCCGGTAAATTTCAAATAGCGCCTACGGCCGTACAATGGTAGCTGCGACCATGAAAATCTCAGAATATGTAGTTGTGATATACAATTTTCAAACAGGAAAAGCTAATCGGTCGATTTTAGTCAAGAAACATTGTTTCATAGCTAAAATGATATCATGACCTTCAGAGGGAGCTATACAACATAAAGAGTTTATTATTTATAATTTCATAACTTTAGACTCGATTTCAATCGGGACAACGATCAATAAATATTGTAGGAACGCATATGCTTCCAATATGTTAATTTGAACTAAATTCATGACCCCATACCAAAACTTTGTAATACCTTTAACTATGAAAGGACATTTTTAATCATGGAAGGACATTTAAAGATAAAGTTGAGTTCTGGTCATGCGATTGCATTGTGAAAGAAACGGTGTGGAATTGATCAGAAAAGGTTGATCATCTAGCATATAAGTATTGGTGTGTACTGCAAGGTTCAAGAGTCATTAAAATGATAAGAAATTTGGCCCAGTCTTGGTAAAGTTACAAGCACTGTACACAGAAAGATGTATATGGGACTACAAAACTATGTGGCATAAAAATCGGGCCACATTTTTAAGCTGTTACTTGTCATTTTTAGAATATGGAGGCGTTTGAAGAGCCATGCTTTTCAGGGAACACTTTTTCTCTGATGTTCTTCCATATTTGTATAATAACATTGATAACGCTCACAAATTATTTGTCACCCCTTTGTTTCCTTTCAAAACCCAGGCCTGGATACTTATTTTTAACCCCTTAATTTATGTACCATGAATAGCAAATTGAGTTCAAGAAAAAGAAAGTTGGACATAGTTTGGACAATGAATTGCCATGAAGCTGAAAGAAGTTTTCTCATAGTAAAGTCATTTGACATAATTAATTTGTCTACCCACTGTAACAAAAAAGCACTGGAAAACTTCTGATAATTGTTCAAAAAACTTGTCGGCACTAAAGAGATTATTGAGGTTATCTCAGCTAATACATGTATTTTATTCTCTTATGGAGTAATTGTTAAGTTTTGTGTATTTTGTGAGCGTGGATATATTCACGTTAGAGATGGGAGAGGTGTAGATTAGCTTAACAACTGACATTTGTTGATGGAAAGATTTTGTTCAAGGTTTAATCATTTAAAAAAAAAAAAAATTTCTGCTTTTCTGCAGCCCATGAGACACAGAAAACAGTCACAAGATCTTCCAGCCCGACCTCTTGCCTGCGCACTCCTGGGTGAGTAATAGCAATATTCAGTTTTTTAATAGCCCATGTCACATTATGATATGACGTCTCTATGTGCTCCCAAAGGACTTTGGATATTATTGCCTTGGATTTAGCTCCAGCAACTGTAGTGCTCAGTGCATTCAAGGAGTAAATCCTACGAGGTACCCACTTCCTACACCTGGGTTTAGTGTGGCAAATGTAGATCGATATCTTGCCAAATGATGCAAGTTGTGCAGCAGGGATTTGAACCTAATACCTTTCGGTTCATTGTCCAGAGAGTTATCCACTAGACCACAACACCTCCATCTATTACTATGAGTGATCTAGTGGACATGTCACCAGCCTGTGGATCACATGGTTTGCAGTTACAAGTCCCAAAGCGGCACTAATGTCCTCTGTCAAGACATGAATCTACATTAGCCACTCTGCACCCAGGTGTTAAATTGGTACCCAGTCGGATGGGAATGTTAATATGGGCTCGTAGAATGGGGCCTGACCGGAATTATCACCAGGGAGCGGAGCATGTGCACTATCATGCGCGGATTAGCAATTGAATGCAATTACCTTGTTAATAATTATTACGACCTACCGGTACATTGTTTATAGATCTAGTAAGTACTATACAAATGTGACTATTATTATTGATTTGGAATCATCAAAGTTTGGGTAAAGACAGTGAATTTAACATACAGTACATGGCTACCTGTGTGCACAGATGGGTATTGTAAGGAGTAGAAACAATCGATTAGAATTAGTTCTATGAAGGCTATAAACGCAACTAATTATACTGTATTTATGGTACTCGGATGTTACCCAAATTTTACCCATTTTGAAATAACCTCTAATTCTCTATCATATTTCTAAAGTGGCTTCAACTTTTTTTCCTCCAGATTTGACCGTTGAGTTTATCTTGAGTCACATGATGAAAAACCTGCCCCAAGAGTTGTATCTGTAAGTAGCTACAATCAATTTGATGACTTTCTTCAAGGGAGCTTGTAGTTTTGGTTTTGTATTGAATCACCATTGGTCTTATTGCCCTTGCGTGATACACATACACAACATTTGGATGCAGCTTTGAGACTTATGAAACTGGGGTGGCCCAACTAAGAAGCAACTGAACTGTTTAATAGTCAGGTTCCAGACATGTTCCAGCGTCGCTTAGGAAAAAAATGTGTGATGTAGTATTGTGCAAACCTTTTCAATGCTCTTGTTTAGAGGCATACTTAATTATGGCAAGGTATATGATATTGTAAATTTTTATTCAAGTTCTACCTGGCTAATGATATGTATAAATGTATATATATATATATATATATATATATATATATATATATATATATAAAAGAATTACAAAAAATATCTAGGTGTTCTTTATAGTTGGGGCCAGAAAAAATTGAAAGATAAATGCTGATAAATCTTATTTATTATATTCATATCACACAGTAATAATGATTTCTTGTTGTATACATATCAACAGACACAAACAAACATTTTTTGTCACAGTGGACCTTTCATGAACTGAGGTATGGAAAGGCTGTCCTTTAAAAAAAATTGTCTTCTTTTTTTCGTTTAACTTGTAGGAAATGTTTAGGTGTGATTCACAGGGTGCTATGCTATCAGAAGAAATGTCGAGTGAGGCTGCAGTATTCATGGATCAGCATCTGGACAGGTAAAAGAAATTGAATTTGAACGCAAGAAAATAGAATTTGAACGCAAGAAAATTGCATTTGAACGCAAGAAATTGATTTTGAACGCAAGAAATTGAATTTGAACGCAAGAAATTGAATTTGAACGCAAGAAATTGAATTTGAAACATTGCCACATGAACGTAAAGTTGTGTTTTGGAGTGCAGTATAAATATCTGATGTCTTTTTTTAAAGGACAATAAGATGTGGAAGACATGATTTTAGGTAGTGGAAACTTAGAAGGATGGGTAAACTATTCTGAGAAAAGTTATTCTATGTTACAAAATACATCTAGTTTTAAGTCGAAAATATTGTTTGCAATTTTCTTAATCAGTTGTTCTAACGGTTAAATGAATGTGCCCATCTAAATGTGAAAGTCTTAAACTTGATCTCAATTAATGTTGGTAGGATATCAATTTTTTAATTTTTATTAAACAATAAAAAGTGTCCACTTTCTTTTTTTGCTGTGTGTATATTTGACTGGCAACTCATTACATAATTATATTAAACAAACCCTGTACACTAAAAACATGTAGTAAGCTGGTCGTTTGTAGGATGGTCTATATTCCTGTATTTCTAACTTTCAGCAGTAAATCACTTCCTATACTTGTAATTCTTTTTCAGCACTGATCAGTCTCCTAAAGTACATTTTGGCCAGCGAATCTGTATTACTTCCATCAAACAACATCTTTGAATTAGCATGCAAGGTAAGTAAACACTTCTTCAGAATATAGAATTCATTTCGTGATACCAAATGTGTTTTGTAAGGGAGAAAAAAATAGCCAATAGACCAGTTTACTAACATATTCAAATTTTATGCATACCGTAATTTTTAAACAAATGTTGTTCTTGACAACCTGAAGTCGTGCCTGACAAAGCTACAAATAATGTATGCAGACTGGATTCGGGATATTGTAGTTCATTTATTTATAACAGGTTAATGGAATACCTTTGTCACTAGGTCCCCAGGAAAGAAACATCCATAAATTTGAATATGTTAGTAAACCCGTCTATTGAATAGGTTATGCCAATTATTCTATTAATTTTTGAGGCATTATGCAAAAATGGTATGTCCTATGGACCTACATGTACAGTTTACTAGTTTGAATCCCTGTCCCTTGACGAGTGTATAATAAGACCACACTGGTATGGAAATGTAGAGTTGGGTAATTGTACATGAAAGTACATGAAAGTGGTGTCAGTGTGCCTATAACGTTATGCTTCATAGCCATCTTCATTCCGGTGAAGTTTCTAGGAAGACGGTACAAATTCATCCTATCTTGCAGCAAGTGAACTTACCGTACATGTTGGCCATTCTTGTCCTAATATGACACATTCCTTGTGATATTATCCTTACACTTTGCCCTTTGATTATTAGAATTTCACTGCATTCATCCATTTAACATGAATAACTAGTAACCGATACTTATATAATATTGGATGGCTTTGATTGTGGTACAAGAATATATTGTCATAGTTGAAGTTCCCTGATGACTGAGCAATACCAAAACAATATTGGTCAGTCTCGGTACTGCGCTAAAGGTATTGAATACGCTGATTTATTGTACCACTTGGAAGCCTTATATAGATAATAATAACAAATATGCATGTAGTTGAACTCTTTCCCTCTTGACCTTTGACCTCTGACCTGTAGGTCGTGAACCTGTTCAACCTGTTCATCACCTATGGTGATACCTTCCTGCCTTCAGCAAACTGCTATGATCAACTCTACTATGAACTCATTCGCATGCATCAAGTCTTCGACAACATCTACAATATGGGTAAGAGGCTCCCAGAAAAAGGACCTGACGCTTGCCTGGGTGATATTTGTACCTGGTTTTATAACCAAATCAAAACTGCAGGATTTAGATTAGGATTAAGAATATAATTTGATTGAGTTTACAATCTTTTCTATGTCAGTTTCTTAATTTTAGTCATCTTTTGTATGGTAATTCTTTTTCCTTTTTTGTGTAGTATAAAAGACTTATTTCACAAAATTTTGGATTTCATATATTCATGATAAAGACAGTTTTCTTTAATTAAGAAGTCAGATGAATATGAAAAGTATGAATACAAAGAATAGTAGTACCATGGATAAAATACAAATGATTGAATGCTATTGTGAATTATATCCCGCATACTAAGAATCTTGCAATCTGATTGGTCTAAACGAGGTCACATGATTAATGATAGATAAGTACTATCTCCCTGCGATAAGACTTTTGTACAGTAATTTTTTGCTGCTGCCCCACTTGGCCATTGAATAAGCGTAGCAAAGTAGGTTACGCGAAATGTCAATGTCAATGTCAAATGAGCGCGCATCGACTGTATTACATGTATGCGTGTTGTGCTTTGTAAAAATCTAGCTGAAGCTAAACTGTCTGCAGAATCAGTTCTTTTAATTATGTAAAATTCACTTTAAATAAACCTTATTGCCGACGTGGGATATAAAACAAATATCAACTTCCTTTACTCGGGCAATGGATACAAACTATCATCCTCGTAGTCGATTAATATTTGCTTATTATCACCTTTTTTTCCTGACAGTCCTTTTTTCCCTTTTTTTCTTTTTGCAGCAAGAAGACACATCACAAACAATGGAGAATACAAAGACTCAGCCAATAAGCTTGCTAATAACATTGTCAACATCAGGTAGGGGTTAACGCAATAACCAAATTTGATTCCAGAATATATGTTCCCAATCCTGTTTCCTGTTATGTCTGTAAGCAATTTGTAACAAAAAAAATTCACTCTTCATATGATATTATCATGTGGATATTGTGAGTTAATATATTATAATGAAGTAACACATGTAGCGTTTGTTGTAATAAAACTTTAAAAATTAATAAAAAACATGACATGAACTTGGATTACTATGTGGATATAGACTAGAACATGATTTTAGGGTGTTTCACAAAGACCAAGATCGACTTTAGTTGGATTTACTATGGCAGGCCGTTCATGACAATGTTTGCTCTCACCATTTACTGGCATTGGTCTCTGAAGGGACATATAAATCGTGGTCACAAATCTACAGAATTTATATATTTTGATAGTTCATAATTGAAGGAAAAAATAATATCTAAAGATCATAAAATGAGAGACCAATAGAGAGAGCAACCAGTGGCATGAATTACCTTTCATAGTTGAGTCCAACTTAAAGTTGATCTTAGTCTTTTGAGACATCCCCCCCCCCCTGTTCTCAGTACAGGGCAGCAAATCTAGAGCCTGTTATTCTATTGTACAGCTATGCTATTTATTCAATTGAATCTATGTATCTCTTTTTTGTTTCTTCTTGTCTGCAGAGCCATCATCAATCATTTCACACCCAAGATCGACTCATGGGCAGCCAGTCAGACTACAGCTCTCACAGAAGAACAAGTAGGTAGTTAGGGCTCTTCAACCTCAGCTCCGGCAACAATCACGCCACTGGCAAATAAAAATAATAATAATATTCCGCTTTTATATAGCGCTTAATACAAATGTCTCTAAGCCCTTTACAGATGTACTATTACCACGGTCATTGGATTCAATCTAGGCTAAAACTCTTATAACTGATTTTCTAAATGTCAACCCTGAACGAAACACTAAACCTAATTGTAACCCTAATCCTAAGCCTTCCTCTAAGACTCCATGGCCACCCTAAAACTACCCCCATCTTTTTGATGAAATAAAGCCTAGATCAGTTTTCACAGAAGTGAATGTTTGGACACTGTGATTAGGCATTTTTTTCATCTCATTTTGCATCCTCTGAAAACTCCTTGCATAAACCTTTGCACATTGTATATGAACCCCTCCCCCCCCCCCACCACCCATGCAATTTAAAAAATAGAAAGAATTCTAGAAGTGAAAGGTTGTACAAATCCCAATTAAATTTAGCATGAAGTTTCATCGATAATAGTTTAGTGTCTTTTTAGAAAATGCATAATGAGTGCCTTATCGTCATCATTTATGGGTCTTAAATCACTGCTATTAACAGTTTAGGAAATTAATTACCATGTGTTTCAGAAACCATTGCGGTGAAGTAAACTGTATTGTGTTCTCTGTTTCTCTTACGCCTCAGGTTCTTAGCATTGTAAAGAACAACTACGACACTCTGTGAAAATCATTACTATGTGTTTGAGAAACCATTGCGGTGAAGTAAATTGTATCGTGTATTCTCTGTTTCTCTTACGCCTCAGGTTCTTAGCATTGTAAAAAACAACTACGACACTCTGACCCTGAAGCTGCAGGACAGCTTAGACCAGTTTGAACGCTACGCAGAGAAACCCAAAGAATCAGCCTTCTTTACGCAATTGGTAAGTTTAGAGTATTACTGCATATCGTCTGTGTGGATCCTTAGGGCTATTAACTGTGTGTAAAATTATATGAGTTAACACCCTACTTTCTTCAAATGGACAATATAACCATCATAATGATAATAAACTAAATACTGCATAATTGCATATTTTCTAGTTGATGCAAAAATATGTCCTAACAATCCATTCTTTTCAGAATATGTGAAGACTTTTTCATCTTTATTAAAAACAATGACACTTGGTGGGGAAAACATTATGCACTGGAACAAATTTGTTGTTATAACCAGCTTGGTAAACCAGTTTCTTCATTTAACTTGTAGGTAGATAAAGGAGAAGAAAATGTGCTTAAATTCCTTTCTTCTTTTCAGTGAATGTTAATGCTGATTCAAATTATTTTATTTGGACTGGAAAGGAAATAATGGCAGTGGGGGATCTCCCCTTATCACCTACTCCAAGAAATGCACCAAGGGATACCTAGATCATGAAAGAACACATGTAAATGTAATTAATGCTTCAGGGAAATGTTTCACAAAGACTACGGTCGACTTTAAATTTGACTTAACTATGGCAGGCCATTCATGCCACTGGCTGCTCTTACCATTGGTCTCTTAATAATGATCTTTAGATAATATTTTTCCTTCAAAATGAACTATCAAAAAATGTAAATTCTGTAGATTTGTGACCATGATTTGTACGTCCCTTGAGAAACCAATGCCAGGAATGGTTATAGGAACTAGTGGCATGAAAGGCCTGCCATAGTTAAAGTCCAACTTACAGTCGATCTTAGTCTTTTTGAAACACTCCCCTGGTTATCACCATTTCAATTTTTTTATTTATTTAAGGTGAGATCTGTGGTGGTCAACTTCCGGATCAACTCTGGTGTGGGGAACCTGGAGCAGCAGAGTGTCCTTCAAGAATTCTCCACTATACAATGAACTTGATGCATCGTGCATGAGACTCTTGATCAGAAAGAGAAAGAGTGGTGATGACGTTGGAGAAGAGGTGGAGGAGGAGGAGGAGGAGGAGGAGGAGGAGGAGGAGGAGGAGGAGGAGGAGGAGGAGGAGGAGGAGGAGGAGGAGGAGGAGGAGGAGGAGGAGGAGGAGGAGGAGGAGGAGGAGGAGGAGGAGGAGGAGGAGGAGGAGGAGGAGGAGGAGGAGGAGGAGGAGGAGGAGGAGGAGGAGGAGGAGGAGGAGGAGCCTCCACAGTAGCAGCAGGAGGAAAAGAAGGTGAAAAAGGAGGATGAGAAGAAACAGGAGGAGGAGAAGGAGTAGGAGATTCTGATAATTAAGTGCAATGTATGTATGAATAAGGATTCTACAAGATGCTGTTCACTGATTTCTAATAGTGGATGGAGATGCGGATGAAATGACTCTACTTCAAGCAATGTTTCCTCTGTCACATCTCAAGAGACCTGACCTTTAACCGTACGAGTCCTCTAGAGTTTGACAGATGTTCACCTTCAGCTTCACTTCTCTTGTGGATAGCAGTGCTCTCCTTCAAGCAATGTTTCCTCTGTCACATCTCAGGAGACCTGACCCTCAAGAGCCAGTCCTCTAGGGTTTGACAGGTGTTCACCTCCAGCTTTACTTCTCTTGTAGATATCAGTGCTCTCCATCAAGCAATGTTTCCTCTGTCACATCTCAAGAGACCTGACCCTCAAGAGCCAGTCCTCTAGGGTTTGACAGGTGTTCATCTTAAGCTTTACTTCTCTTTTGGATAGCAGTGCCATCCTTCAAGCAATGTTTCCTCTGTCGCATCTCAAGAGACCTGACCCTCAAGAGCCAGTCCTCTAGGGTTTGACAGGTGTTCATCTTAAGCTTTACTTCTCTTTTGGATAGCAGTGCTCTCCTTCAAGCAATGTTTCCTCTGTCACATCTCAAGAGACCTGACCCTCAAGAGCCAGTCCTCTAGGGTTTGACAGATGTTAATCTTAAGCTTTACTTCTCTTGTGGATAGCAGTGCTCTAAGTGCCCTTCTCAATCAAGCAGTTTCTTCTTAAGTTTGCTACCTTCACCTGTCCAACTTGATGATGTGGATGAGCGATTCATTCGGTACTTGCAGCTGTCTAATTCCTGGTATAGACAGCACTCTCTTTCACTCGCTATTTTCTTCTAAATAGCCACCCAAAGCGTCATACCGTGGTAGCTGCTCACCAAGTGGTGAGCTGATTGTGACCTACATGTAGTAGGGGAGGCGGCATATTGATCTACCAAGTTTGATCCAAAATGGGCATCTGGAACTACAGTCAAACCTGTCTATAGCGACCACCCAACGGAAACACAAAAAGTTGTCTTTGTAGACAGGTTCCTTTAGTACAAGTTTCATTGAAAAACCATTTTCAAGGGAAACAAAAACTTTGGTCTTTGTAGACAGGTGGTCACTAAAGCAGGTTTGACTGTACCTAACTTGAATATGTTTTCAACAAATCTTTGAAGACAGCAACAGATGAGGCTTTCTTATGTCTAGTGTTAGGTTATTCCAAAGCTTTGGAGCAGTGCAACTGGATATACAATCTCCAAAAGTTACTTTTGTTTTTGTGTGGGGTAGCTGTTGAAGCAGCTTGTAATGTGTACGTCGTAAGTATGGGTGTGATTTAAAAATAATTATTCAAACAAATAATTTGACCATTTAGTGCTTTGTATGAAACAAGCAAAAGCATATTCAATACAATTCTATGCCTTACTGGCCACCGATGTAACCGATTAAAACAGGTGTAATGTGGGGAAAAATGAAAACACTAACCCTCTAAACTAAATGCTGAAGCAAGGGTTGCCATAGAAAAAATGTTGGGTCATTGATGTGAGTCAGCAAGTCATCCAGTGGCTTAGTAGGGGAAGGACTGAATATTAGCTACATTGTCTTTTCTAAACCTGTTTATATTTCTACTATGTTATACTATAACCCCACCGGGCCGTCGGCTTCTCTTGCCCGCATTTACTCTTGGTTCTCTCATTCCACCTTCCCAATTCTTTATGTTGTCCATCCATCTCGCAGGACGTCTACATGTACCAACCCAGCACTTCCCTTCAACTTCACCTTAGTTAGGAACAACACTCACCTTTCTTCTTTTCCACTGCCCATACATTCCCGTTCACCTATACATCTGTCCAACTTGATGATTTAGGGTAGCAGCTCTTTCAACTAAACTTTTTTTGTAGTAATGAAAATTATATTCAGCATTTTGTTTACAGGGTTTTATTCTGAATTGGTCATGTATCTGTAACTATCTGATTTTAAGTTTGTGTAGGAAGTTCATCAAGTTGAAGGGCCCTTTGCAGCTGATAAATACATTCAGATATTTGCTAAAGAAATTATACAGGACTCAAAGCTTGATTAAAGCCCTCAAGATGAAATATTGCAATTTATTTATTTAATCTCATTCAATTGTGTTAATACAATACCTGTTTATAATGGCCACTTGTATATAAAGGCCATTGATGTACCATAGGCATGTGGCTTGTATACAGTTCATGAAGTGATCCAGAGCCCAGTGAGGCTATATAAGTAGAATATACTTTGATGGTGAACTGCAAGAGAATTTAAGTTAGTTATGTCAGTTAGGTTTTATACTTCCAAGCTTTGGTGCTGGGTGTTAAAAAAAAAGATATTTATTTTGTAGTCACTAGCTATGTTGGTTATTTCATATTTACACATGATATGTGGCCAATTATTTTAATTTTCATATCGTGAAATTGGTATTAAATCATCCCTTTAATCAATAATTTATGTTGAGTAGCTTGGCAGAATGTAGTGACGCAACTGGGGGTGTTTCACAAAGATCCTAAGTCAAACTTTACTCTTAGTTGGAAGATCAGAATTATGGAGAGCCTTTTGTAGCTTTTAAAAAATATATTCAAAGGCAAAAATTCAAGTATAATATGACTTTTTATTAATTCCACATCAAGAACATGAAATCTCCTTGATAATAAAAAAAAAATTTATAAATGATTATGATTTGAACCAACATTTTATGCCTTTTAAAAATAAATTTTACAAAATATTTTCAAAGATGCTAACAGCTTTCCATAATTGTTAAGTCCAACTTTGAGATAAGTTTAAATTAGGATCTTTGTGAAACACCCCCCTGTAATCAATAATTTATGTTTGGTAGCTTGGCAGAATGTAGTAGTACACAAAGATGCACCTGGTAATGAGAAACCATTACATGATCAAGGAGGTCTAAATGACAGTTTAATTGATATTAAGACTAGGCACATTTGTTAGTTCTTTATCCTTATTGCATGTACAGTCAAACCTGCTTTAGTGACCACCCGTCTTCAAAGACCACATTTTTTGTTTCCCTTGGAAAATGGTTTCTCATTGAAACATGTACGATAGAAACCTGTTTACAAAGACCACCTGCCTATAAAGACTACTTTGTCTTGTCTCCCTTTTGTGGTCTTTATAGACAGGTTTCAGTGTATATGGTTGTACCTCTGTGCCATAAACTTGTGATCGTCAACAATTTTGTACTACATGTATTTGTTCCTTGAAATGTCGATATACACCCAATGTTTCGCCAAGCTGCCTTACCCGTTTCTCAAAAGTGGTAATAAACATGATGATTATGATAGTTAATGGTTCTTGTGTTATATTCCTCAATTTCCAAGAGTCTGAAGAATGGATCATACCAAGGGCATTATTAGTTAGCAGTCACATAAGACACTTTTGCAGTTCAAGTTACCACATTAATGATCAAATTGGATTAATAAACGAGGTCTTTATTTGACAGAAGCCATTTTTCTTGACTTTAAATTACTTGTTCAGTTCAGAAATATTGTACTCTTCTTGACTTAGCATATATATGGTTGTAAAATGTGGTGGACTTTTAAAAGTAACAATCATTACTTCCTGTGATATTTTTTGGTGCCTAATTATTGTTCATCTCTGCAAAGAAGCAATCTTAAAAAGATTGCACGTGGACAACTACAGTGTAGTTTGTACCATATGTTTCCAACTTTGTGTAAGATTTTAGTTTATCTCATAATTGCATTGAGATAATGGCCCTTCTTGAGCATAGATCAGGGACCTGTTTCACAAAACCTATTTCAATGACAAATGACGGTCTCTGTTTTAAGCTACTGAAATCCTTGCTTCTGATTGGTTATTAGCAGATTTGTAACTGATTTTTGTAATTTGTCACTGAAAAAAGGCTTTGTGAAACGGGTCCCTGAAGAATTATGAAGTGAAATAACACTTTTGATGGCAATTTATGTATCGTGCTGGCCTCGGGAAGTTTTCAGGCCTTGGAGAACCATTTCTTAATAAAGAAGGTACTTATGAAAGGGAATACTGTACTAAACTGTTCTAACAATGCACCACTACTTATAAGTTATAACAGTAATGCATATTTTGTTTAGGTAATGCTTAGATACATGTATGTATATGTATGTATAAATTTATATATATATACATGTATATATATATATATCAAGACATTTTATGGACTGGATTATAACAGTTATATCCCCTGGGAATTAAAATATGTGTTGGTTTGAAGGTATGAATATTGCAATATTTGGATTGAATGTCTAGAATTGCCTATAGTGCAGTGACAACTCTGTTTACAGGATGTAAACTTTACATTAATTTTTATTGAATAAAATTCATGAGCTTCATTATTTAATTATCATAATGTCCTCTTTGTGTTATGCTTTCATACTTTAAAGATTTTGTGATATCATCTCACTTGCTCTCTACCCAATTCCCATGTGGGTAAACAAATTGCACTTTTTGAAATATTTTATTTATGCATTTGTGGTAATGCCATATGGGTAGCTCTAAGGTAATTGATTCCTCCCAGCTGTCTGGCAAAATACTTTAAAGAGAGAGAAAGAAAGAGAAGAGAAAGAGAGAGAGAGAGAGAGAGAGAGAGAGAGATAGGGAAAGACGGGGGAGAGGGAGAGAAAGGGGAGGGAGATAGAAACAGAGGAGGATAAAATTACTGAGACAGAGGGGGAGGAATGGTTGGAAAGAGAGAGAGAGAGAGAGGGTAAATTTGGCTCATGGGCAAATCCAAGATAATGTCCCTTTCACAAAGGCGTATCCAGAAGACAGGAGCCCCCCCCCCCACCCTCACCATTAGAAATAATGATAGGAATATACATGTTTGTCACTTACCGCGCACACCCCCTCCTCCCCTCCCCACCCAGCACTCCTTGGAGCTACGAGAGTTTAGATTGATTTATGGAAGAACTTTTGGTTCCTGAGTTTGTCTTACAATCGTAAATCCGCTCATGCCATCGGACGGTAACAAATCGATATAAAATATTTAGCGGTGAAACAGCCGGCCCGGGGGGGGGGGGGGGGGGGGGGGGGGTTAGTGAGCACTAATTTTTTGTTTTGGTTCCCGAAAATTTGAAAAATCGCACCCCCTTGAGCATCAGGGGGGGGGGGGCATCTCCAAAAAAAATCCTAGGGGGGGGGGGGGGGCGAGCTACTGGTGTCCGCTATAATGATAAGGACAGTGACGGGTCACTGACAGCTTAGGCTTACCAACACGTTCCGAGTCTTGTCATCATGATTAATTATCATGAAATAATTAATTTGCTGTTTATAATGACCCATATCGTTCCGTATTTCTGTCATCTTGCTTCTACTTCCATCCTTCTCTCTCCGTCTCTTTTTCTCTGTCCCCCTATTTTTCTCAATCTTTTCCTCTCTCACGTCACCCACCCCCCCTTCCATTTCTCTTTGTCTTTCTTCGAGTTGTGTCTATATTCCCACTCTTGTTTGCCTGTCTTACGCTTCATGGCGCGTGTGTGAAATACACTCGGCAACAACAAGAAAGTGGACACTCTTTATTGTCCAAAATTGTTACATAAACCGTCACAAACATATAATAAAATATATATCAAATTAAAGGAAAATTAATACTCCGTCAACGTCGATCAAGATCAAGTTTTTAATAATTGTATTCCAATAGTCAGAATGCAAATTGCATACATTCCAAGCCATAATGTTTGTCCTACATGAAATCCACATTATGACTATTGGAATACACTTATTTGTAACAGGTGAATGAAATAACTTATAAGATGTATGCATTAAATGCAATTACATTATGAAAATGGTCTATTGCATATTATTTTAAAGAGGATTAATTCATGTTTATTTTGATTAAAATGTTTTGTTAATAGACATTATAAATAATATCCGATTTACTTTCTTCTTTTTGCTGAGAGTAGATAACGCTTTCTTGAATTATCACGTGTTTGACAATTTGTTATATTTCCCGAATACCTATAATATTATTGTAGACAAAAGTGATACAATGTAAATATGTTACTATATGCTAACTCTAAAATCAGTCTTCTCGTTTTTAATCAATTGTATATTCACACTTCCCCTTTCTTTAGCAGAGCCGGTTCCAAGATAGGCCGAAAGGGCGGGGCGGAAAAAAACACGACACTAATTTTTCATGAACACGTTCCCACCGGTTATTCCGGACAGGTACAAGTCAGGATAATCTCTGACAAGAAAATATTGCGAGGGTCGTGTCGCCCTCCGCCATTTGATAATCTCTTTATTACTATATTTATTAAGGGCATTTATAACTCTGTTTGCAGATTTGAAATTATTCTCATTTCATTTCAATAGTCAATCTGAAAAAGTATGCTTTCCAAGTCTTCCCAGCATTAATGATAATATTCCAATCTTTTATAGTGGACATCACTGCTCTTTGGTCTTTGCCGCCAAGCTTTCAAGGCGACCATTTAAGCCCGGAATCATGTTTTAGATTTCTACTTTCACTTCCTGAGCTAAAAGGCTCTGTATTGTTGACCAACTATTCAATTTGTCCCACTTTCTTTTCTGTTCCTCCGTTGCTTTTCAATTTCTTTCTCATTTTATTCATTTTTATGATCCGGTGTTTTCTTTGAAGATCGAATGTCGCTCGCGTACCACCACGATTTCAATTTAGTACCTTACAGAGCGATTATAAGAAGGGAAAAAAAAGACAAAAGAAAACCTTTCAGCCTTTTAGTAAGTGATGCTGTTACAAAAAACCCTATGACAAAATGACTTGGAAAATTGATCAGAGTAGACTTGTTGCACATTTTTAGATGATCGAGGCGGCGGCAATGCATCTCCATCAAATAATTTACACTGTCTGGTCTTTCTTTAGGTTTAAGGTATTATGGGTGCGTGGGTGGTTGTTTATGAGCGGTATTTGAGTGCGGTAGACCTAGAGTTGCCAATATACTTGAGCATCGATCATAATTTGGAAGGACAATATAGTTATTATTCGATGATTGATCCCAATGTAGAAAATGAATTAAACGCATTGCACGAAACTTTCCCCAAAATGCTTTACGATTTTTTTTTCTTCAAAGAAAGCCTAGGTTTATGACAACGCTATTCATTTACTTTTAGTAGTCACCGTTGTGTACTGGTGTCAAATGAAAACATCAGAAGACTGATGGTTTGACTTTTGCTATTTTACTCAAATGACAGCGCCATACAAAGGAAAAAGAAATTGGTAATACACCAATAGGTATTAAAAGTGTTTCATGTTCACTCTCATTTCTCATTTCTTTCTCAATAACTCTTCTCCCACCCCACCCCCTCTCTCCCTATCTCCCTCCCTCATCACTGACTCTCTCTCTCTCTCTCTCCCTCCCCTCCCCGCTCACACACACACACACACACACACTCTCTCTCTCGCGCTCTCTCTCTTTCTCACTCACACTCACACACTCTCTCTCCCTTTCCTACTCTATTTCTCCCTATCCCTTTCCCCCGAGTTATCTCTCTCTTTAACTCTCTTTTGTTTATTTATTTTTGAGCTTTACTTTACGCATGACACCGCATATAAAGCACGCCATGGCTAATGGGGATTATCAACCTTGTAAATCCATTAGATTTGGAATATGATCTTGTCTAAAAATTTTAATTGTGTACATTGCTACTTAATTGACTTCCGAGCTGTGACTTCAGCAAAAAAGAGGACAAACACGACGGTCGCTTAATCGGCAGAGTGTTTTATGCAGCAAAGCACTTTAATCACACTATATACATAATAACAAAACACGATGAATATTAGATCGTACATCACATATTGCACCACGATATCACATCGATTTTTTAACTCTTTTTTTTGGGGGGGGGGGGGGTGGGGGGTTGAAATAAAAATGAAAGGAGTTGAATGGTGCATATATATACATGAAAATGTGTATATTCAAGACCAAAAATGTACACTTCCTGTAAGTCTACTTGTTAAATGCATGATACAGTTTTCCATGTAGAATAGAGTATGATAATTATAACAACAATAGTCACATCTGTATAGCGCTTTAATTATTATTATCCCGGTCATTGCATACAATTTCTAACCCACACATGACTGTGAATAATAATATTCCTCTTTTATATAGCGCTTAATACACCAATGGTGTGTCTAAGCGCGTTACAGATATGCTATTACCTAGGTTATCGGATTCAGACTGACCGGCACACAATGTATGCACATTCTCCACTCCCTGAGGAATTTTTCGGCCAGGCGCCATTTTACAAGCGCACATTTGCTCAGCAAACCACATTAACCTTCGCAACCTACATAGCCCAGGTCGAAAAACTAGTTGAAACCAGTAGTCAACTGGTACCAGACGCGTACGCAGTTTTTTTTCATGTGCGTATTTTGTATTTTGTAGCAAATTATACCGATGGCTGAAAAAAAGTGTCCTCTTACCCCTCCCCCCCCCCCCCCCCGCTTAATCAGCGGCTGTCGGAGTCGTTGCGATTTTTTTGGGATCCAACAAAAAAAAATGTCCTCTTACCCCCCCCCCCCCCCCCCCCCCCCCCTTCCCGCTTATTCAGCGGCTGGCGGAGTCGTTGCGATTTTTTTTTGGGACCCCCCAAAAAAAATTCCTCAAAGCTATAATGGACTTTTTATAGATATGTTCTTGCCCATATATCTTATGTATTACAAGAGCTCTTGCGCACGGAAATTTATCTTGAACGGACGCTCATTCCGTTATTAATGGCCATAACAAATAGCGATTCTATGTTGCGTAAGGCAATGACGAGCAAAAACGTGCGCGCGATTTTTTTTTTAATATGCTTAAAATGGCCTAAAACGTATGCCAAATGAATTTGAGACGATTTTGGGTAATTTAACATTTTGCGCGCACGTTTAAGCGCGGACGTACTTTTACGCGCGCGCTTTATGATCTGAAATTGACCGGACATAATATCCTTGATCATGATGAATGAGAAATGTCTTTCCGTTATGAAGATATGATCATATTATGACTTTTACAAAATGGCGCCTGGATGACGTCATGATGCCAGGGAGTCACTGAAAAGTCACGCAGTTCTAAGTTAGACCAATATCTATCATCATGGCAAATCATTCTTGAGATATCCTGCGAACAAATTATGGCAGAATAATAATAATAAAAAAATTAAAAATAAAGACAAATCTTGACGAAATCAATAGGTGATACGTATACTTCGTACGTATCACCTAATAAACGTTGAGAAATACACTCAAAGACCACATGGCGAAATAGTTCTAACAAACGGTCGATTTGTTTATAAACACGCATTAATTTTGCGCAATAATAACATTTCGCCAGCAAGGCATGCAGATACTCAACTACTACACTCTTCTTAATAGAAATAAAAATACATCTCATGTTCACAGATTGGTGGAACCAGTAGAACGGGTCTTACTGCTGTTGGAGCTAACGGCGTCGGCCTTGCGACAGCGAAAGACAGTCTTGAACGCTTCTTGAAAATTGGGATGTTTGAGGGCATAGATGATAGGGTTGATTGAGCTGTTGGAGGCCAAAATCATCGCCCCATAGAGGGTAAGGACACTGCTGCCTGGTATCATGAAATTGACGAGGCTTGGTATCAAACAGATCGCGAAGATGCAGACAACGACGAAGAGATTCTTGGTAATTTCATATTCGCGCTTCAAGAAGGCTGTCTGCATGGCTCTGGAATTCGCCTGAGCTTTTGATGAGGGAACTTTCGGCCCGGCAGATCCGTTGTCGTCGGCAAACTTCTTGCGAAATTGGTGGGTTTGTCGCATGACGTGTATCATTATGAGGAGATAAAAGATTACGGTGATGACGAGGGCGACGACTATGACACCTGCCTGGAGCAGGACGAAGTAGAACCGGAGGGGGTTCGTGTCGGTCACGGTGCACAGCGAATAATAGCGGGAATAACCGATCTCCCCGATGCCCAACGAAAGCGGGAGCGACACTACAGTGATGTTCAGCGCCCAGATTCCGAGGATTATCATGCCGATCTTTCGTGGCGTGTGAAGCCCGCGATGACCGCGTATCGATTTCGAGATGACGTACCAGCGGATGAAAGCTATGGCGGCGAGGGTCATCACGCTTACCCCGAGACACAGCAAATTGAAACCGGCGACGATCGAGCAAATAATTTCAGGGAGAGGATATTCATCGCCTTGATCAATTAGACCTACGACCATAAATGGTAAGTTGAGACACGTGAAAAGGTCGGCGACAGTGAGATTGGTCACCAAGATGTTGGTGGTCGTCTGAAGCTTTTTAGATACGATAACGGCGACGACCACCAGAGAATTTCCAAAGAGACCGAGGACGGTAATGAAGCAACAGCAGGTTGCGACAATGAGACGATGATGGTAGGCAATGCCTGGCAGAGGGTTTTTGGTAGATCCCACTATAGACAAAGGCGTTGATGACCCGAGTAACGTTACGTAGTCAATGTCAGTGACAGTGTCACACGTTACATTGTCCATATCATCAATCTTCTCCATTTTTGCTCCGATTTCGCTCTAAGCTATCGTTCTATTAGCATAATAGAACGGCAATATCATCAATAACTTCCTTTATACTCCTACGTCCAGCTTCTCGTGGTCTATTTGCCTAAGGATATTAAAATATTTACTGATCATTCACTCGTTTTCACTTCTTCTAAAGCAAGTCTCGAATGAGTCAACTTTGAAACCACCGTGTTGGCATCTGTGTTGTTTCAGACCGTTTCATTTTTTCGTCATCCTTTCCAAATAATTTTCTATCTCAAAACCACTTTCCGCAGATGTAGTGTAGATCATCAAGATGTACGGCTCCGTGAACTGTTTTTATAATTATAATGAAAACAATGAATATTTAAGAGGGTTTCTAGGTTCCAATTTTTTTTAATATACAAGCCTAAGTTATAACAAGATTTGCACACTTTTGATTATTCTTTACCAACCGGTGGTGTTCTTCGGTACAATAATATTGTAAACGTATTCTATTTATTATATCTCTGTTATTGCTGCAAGTTAAAATGTCCCATTTGTCCCTAACCGGGCATCCGAATCTCCTGTAGCCCGAGTTATGCATACAAACAGATTAGGAATAAGATATTTTTTGTTGCAGAACGATTTTGTAATTCTGTCATTCCATTTGACTTCTACTGACAACAAGATTTAAATGGGCCATGCATATTGGTTATTTATATTCATAATCCGGGCATACGTTTGGTACTTATGAAGCAAAAAAAAATTCAACATCAATCAATCACGCAAATCCTTCACAAATACTTAAAACAGAGACACGAATCACTAACGAAGATGCATTTGGAGCGCCCAGGTAAATCTCGACAATTCGCATGCAATCTACTTAATCGATTTGAATGATTTTTTTGCCATTGTCAGTCATTAAATACAATTAAGTAATATTGACTGCTTTCATGGGCAATACGACAAATTTGGTTCGGGTGATGTATGAGCGTGCACTCCATGATACACAGGTGGAAGTATTCTTTGTAAAGGGGAAACAAAGGCTATTTATGTAGCACCCCCATCGCTGTAGATCTGTGAATGTTTGGGGTCATTTGGGACATTTGCTAACCGTGAACTGGTCTATTATTGTGAAGCATCAGGAGTGTAAGGTTTGATGGACAAGAGTGACATACAAGAGCCCACTATTATTATTATTATTAGTATTATTATTATTATTATCAACAGAAGTAGTATAATTATTATATATATATATGTTTTTAAACTTGACGAATCAGATTGAATCAAATCGAATCTGTGGTAGGAATCACTTAGCTCGCGGAAGCGAGCATATGGATTCGTCTAAAAAGGTTTCACTTAGTGTAATTACATCAATAGGACATGTCCTTATTAGTACTTTCAATTCATCTAGGAATATTGCTTCTTTACCTAAATATACACAGAAAAATTGAAAATGCTAATAAGTAAATGACATATTGATGAAACCCATTTAGACGAATCCATATGTGACGAAGAAATTGCAATTCGTAGATACACCTGTGAAGGTCGAGATCGAAACCAATAAGGTGGAGGAGTCGCCGCATATGTACGTGAAAAGCTTAATTTTTATAGTTAAACCGGAATTTATGCCGACAGACCCAAACGACGTATGGAGCATTTGAGAGTGGACGGAATTCTACCGTGTGAGTCAAAACAAGGTTTAAACCTAGAAAATTGCTAATTATTAAAAAAAAATCATCTATGAACAGTAAATTATTATACATCTTATGAAAGAGTGATTTATCCCAAATCATTTGGTACCATTTTTGTGTGGTATTTGTTCACGCTTGGATGAACAGTCCTTATTAGTACTTTCAATTCATCTAGGAATATTCCTTCTTTACTTAAATATACACAGATGAATTGAAAATGCTAATAATTGAATGACATATTGATGAAACCCATTTAGACGAATCCATTTGTGACGAAGAAATTGCAATTAGTGGATACACCTGTGAAGGTCGAGATCGAAACCAATAAGGTGGAGGAGTCGCCTCATATGTACGTGAAAAGCTTAATTTTATAGTTAAACCGGAATTTATGCCGACAGACCCAAACGACGTATGGAGCATTTGAGAGTGGACGGAATTCTACCGTGTGAGTCAAAACAAGGTTTAAACCTAGAAAATTGCTAATTATTAAAAAAATCATCTATGAACAGTAAATTATTATACATCTTATGAAAGAGTGATTTATCCCAAATCATTTGGTACCATTTTTGTGTGGTATTTGTTCACGCTTGGATGAACAGGAGGCATTGTTTGCTAGAGTGCAAAATAACAATTTCTACCATGGCATTGCCAATTTTCGGCATAGATACGACTTAAAATGATCAGGATAAAGAACCAAACCTTCATTATGAAATGAATGATACTTCACAATTCTTTACGTCTTGATATTTTTTCGTTAGAAATATAAGCTCTTCTAAAATTACAGGCGCTACCATGACAACCTTTATATCTGATTATAACCATGACCTGGGAAGACAGAGATATTTGTTAAGACCAAATGGGAAACTTGAAAGAGATCTATTTAGCCACTACCATTATATTTCTTAGTTGTTTGATTAGTATTATCTGGCATTGTAAAGAAAATAATCCCTTACCATTTCAAATGATCCAGATAAAGAATCAAACCTCCAGCATGAAATGAATGATAATTGACAGTTCTTTGTGTTTCGATATTTTTTTCGTTAGATATATAAGTTTTTTCTAAAAATTACAGGCGCTACCATGGCAACCTTTATATCTGATTATAACCATGACCTGGGAAGACAGAGATATTTGTTAAGATCAAATGGGAAACTTGAAAGAGATCTATTTAGCCACTAGCATTATATTTCTTAGTTGTTTGATTAGTATTATCTGGCATTATTAAGAAAATAATCCGTTACCATTTCAATGGCCAAAGACGTCATCTAGAAAAATGGAAACAGGTAGATTCGTGTTTTGCACCCCGAAATAGGGGAAATAACACATGAAATCAGATTCTACAGATAATTTTAAGTACACTTTCAACTCGCCATGTACTAGTTTTGGTAAAGCGCAGTTTACTATGTTCAATTAACCAGCTTTACTATTTTTCCCCGTTGTTGTTTTTGTAAGATTTTGCTCAATTTTGCCCTCTCCCAATAAATCATCCTTATGTGGAGAAAAGGAATTACATACAGTTTGAAAAAGGTTTGCGCAAATTTATAAAAAGGATAGGCATAAAAGATGTTGAAATATGGAAAGGAAATAATATGGTTGCCCCGAGTTACCTCACTCTCGGTGAATAAGTCACCTTAACACATCGGAGTGCCGCGAGAGCATTTTAGCAATATAAACAAAACTGTTATTATTTTAGAATAGAAAAAACGTCGATATCTTTAAAATCAAATATTTGAAACCGCTATAGTAAAGGCCTACGTACAATTTTATGAAGATATAGCATTTTAAAGATATGTAGTTTCTTTCTTTCTCGCTCGCTTTGCTCGCTTGCAACCTTTAATACATGATGGTTTCAGGCAGCGAAATGCGTGAATATCTCCATGTTTGAGCTGCGAGGTGCCCGAATAGTCTTCTATTTGACAGCGAGGTGCCCGAATTTATATTACATCTTTTCTATCGAAATTAGATTTTTACCATGCTCGTTCGCTTCACTCATTCGCAACATTTAGATACAGGGTAATTACGGGTAAGAAGATGCCCGAATACCCTCAAACTTGTGCATTGAGGTGACTGCACCTAATGATTTTCGTATTCATATTTGCGACAGCAAGGTGCCCGCACACTTAATTTTATATCTTATTTAGTGTTATGATTATAAAGTAAATTTCTTACCATATTAAAAGTTCCTTTATATTTGTTGCTCGCTCGCAAAAAGTCACCAAACAAATTGCCTTCTTGTGCAGGCCTACATGGCAATTTACGAGTGGCAGAGTAATGCAAAATCGATTCTCTGTAAATGAATTAGGGATTGGGGTAACGCGAGAATTGTAATTTTCAAAAGGGTACCGCGACGTATAAAAGGTTGAAAATTAATCAAACTCACCAACTGGTCGTCGGTTGCCGGGAGAGTCGATGGATGGGAGTGTGAATTTGAAGAATCTGGGATGGCTAATTGATTGACCGATTTGTGCTGGAAATAAATCGGATCAAAACTTCACAGAGCATGATGACGAAAATGGAGGAACGATGTTAATTGAGGCTATATGTATAGACTTGACGCACAGATCACGTAGGCGTATTAATCGTGTGATGCTGACCAATCACAAAAGAGTGTATTAACCGTGTACTTAATTCAACAAAAATATAATCAACGGGAAAAATATCATTACAGAAATCATGAAAAAGATGACAATGTATAAATTCATTGGGCTAACTGTTAACCCCGGCTGGTGACAGAAGTAACGTCACGTTACAAAGAACAAGAAATGGAGGTACACTGTTGGTCATAAATGTGGAATGATTTTTCCAAATCCCAATTTAGAGATATCGTAAGTAGCAAAACCCAAATTGATCTTTGAGACTTTAGAACTAATTTCCGATGTGTTCATAGCACTTATAATAATTTTCCAATTACTTTTCATATCATATTTGTTTGTATTCGCTATATTTTTGTAAGAGTATTCTTATCATTACCATATTCCATATTTAGGTTTGGATTGTCCAGTAGGTTTACAGGGGGGAATCTACGCGGGGGGGGGGGGGGGGGGTTTACCCCCCCCCCCCTGGGCTGCCAAGTGAAAATGTGCTGTGCATAGAAAAGTGCCATCATGTGTCCCGAACCACATAGTATTAGTAGATGAGATGTTAGTAGATGCCGGAACATGCAGAAACATTTGGGATGGACAATAAGTAAGGCCATTGAAAATAAAAAAAAAACATCTTTTGAAATGTGGATTTACAGAGGAATGATGAAGATATCCTGGAAACGAATGAACACCAACAAAGAGATATTGCACATGGCAGGGCGTAAACTAATTGCACTAGTAGGATTAGTTAAGGAGA